TGCATATAGTATATATATTTAGTAGTATATAGAAAATAAATAAAACTCATATATTGGTGGTCAGTCACCAATCAGTGAGACTTGCAGAACCTTGGAAAAATACTCAAATTTAGCCATGGGGTTACTCAAATTTAGCATCCATACAGGTACATTCATAATTATTCTTACAGTATACCTTTGGCTACTGTTCCTTCATTCTGCAAGTCTAAGGCTCTGTAAATGTTTGGTAAATGAGTACATACTACTACTTTTTTTAAATCTAATTTTTCTGTCTACTGTGTACAAATGGGATTTAATCTGAGAACCTATTTTAGATTTGTCAGTGTGGGTAGAAGATAAATAGGAAAGTCAGAAGAGCTTGTATATTGTTATAAATTGATAACTGATGTTCTTTGCTTCTAGGGCTAATTCAAGTGCCAGGTGATTTAACAAAGACTTTATAAGCAGTGACAGCAACATACAAGTTTAATATTTCACTTGACAATAAATTGCTGTCAATTCATTCAATTCCATTTAAGAATTTGTATGCAAAGGGACAGTAAAAATATTCAGTATTATCGTGGTTGGTTTTAGCACTTCTAGCTATGCAAAATCAAAGTATTTACAGCAATTAATTTAGCTTGCTCAATCTTAGTTTAGGGACAGTCCTCTAAGGCGTGGGTCACAGTTTGTGCTTGATGGTTTGTATAGCCCTGAAAACCTCAACCAAATCTGGAATAGTTCAGATGGGATCGTAAACAGTATGGTAAATCAATACCTAGTGGCTGTATAGCACAGCTAACTGCAAAAGATTTCTGGATGTGAACTTGAGAAGGGGTGAGGAGAGCTAGGCAAGTATCTTTAACTCTCTTGCACCTTGGCTGAAGAATGCTTGGGGCAGATGTGCACTTAATTTATGTCACCTGTTACTGCCGTGAGGATTGCGATGCAAATATTATAATTCAGAGCACAGCAGCATAACATTACAGGAAGCTGAACACTGGGCATACTTAATGAAGGTTTAGTAGCCCTAAAAGGGCAAAGGCAGATGTCTAAAAAGTGTGAATATTTCATTGCCTTGTAGATCCAAAAGGTTTTCCTAATACATTATAAATTACTGATTTGTAGCAACCATTTTCCCAGATGATCACAGCAAGTCAGGCATAGCAAGATTAGTCCTGAGTTAGTTGAGATTCAGAATGTTTTCCAGTGGATATTCACTGTAGAAAGGCTCCCACTCATGAATTGTAGAAACATTACTGAGGCTGAAAACTCATGAAACTGTTTTGGAAGTGCTTAACAACATCTGCAGCAGCTGTGGTGTGTAACTCCCCACAAACCTCTCCAGTGCAGGGTGTGTTAGCACTGAGACTTCGCAGGGTTGTGTTATCTGGGGTGTGGTGTTCAGTCATCACTCACACTGGGCTAAAATTTGGCCAGTTGTTTCAGACCCGATAAACTTGAAATTGATCTCTGCCTGCTTTGAAGAGATGGCAGATGTACATCATTTAATATAAGAGGTTTTTCCAGGAAAAAAGTCTTCAGAGAGGCCACAGTTCTACACATAATAATGTGATGAATTCTGGATTTGTTTATCCTATAAGTAGTTTAATAGGATATATAATAGCTTTAAAACCGTGTAAACTGCTTGTAGCAATTAACAGATGAGTACTTGAATCCAGGCTCCCTTTCTTAAAAGATCCTCATAAAAAACTTTTTGGTTAGAAGAAAAGTAAGTGGAATGTTTATCATATGATAATGACAAGTGAAAGACTCAATTTTGGCACTAGATGGGCTGGATACAGACTCTTTTAGGACAAAGTATGGATCACGATAGTAGAAGTAACTTATCAAAATTAGTATGAATTGACTCCAAAACAAGGAGCAGGAAGCTCAGAAGCCTGTGATATGACTGTCAGAGCAGTTATGGAAAACCCAAAGGATTGGCACCTTCTGCTTATAAAAAAGAGATGCATCATTTGTTTAAAACATAGGTGCAACATGGCCTTGTTTCTAAAAAAAGACATACAAACAAAGCCAAGGAAACAAAAAGTCAAAAGAAACTCAAACCCAAACCACCACACCTGAAAGGCCAGGCTGGAAGAACAGAAGCTGAAACTGTGCCTGTGTGAATGTGTGATTTTCTTTGTCCACATGCCATGGTCCTCTCTACTATAGATATCTCTACTGGATCATAACTACCCTTCTTAAAACTACATTGCCTTAGTTGAGCATCAGGGTACTTGGCAGAGAATTATATCTTTATAAAATCTGCTTCATCTGACAATGGAAAGTTTCGGTCCTTCATGTCTGGGAATTTGGTAAGCATCTCACAGAACACAATCCCATCCCAGACAGGATATCTCAAAGGTTAATTTAAAATAACATAACAGACCCCGTACTCTTCCAGTTCAGACTGTGTAGCTCCTTAGCTACCCTGCTGAATATCTTTAGAGAAAGTACAAATTTTATTTCAGAAAAAGCCATGTACCTACTAAAATTTGAGCTCTGTTAAGTGACACAGTTATGCTGCAGAGATATTCTTTTGTTTCATGACCCAGTCAGAGGCCCCCCTCCCCAGAAGATTCCTGTTTTATTATTTCAAATCTGTTTTCAATTATTGTCTTCCTCTTTGGAGAATATCCTTTTTGGCAGTGATTCAGCCTTCTTGGGAATTTTTTATATCTCATTAACTGGGAGCAGTTCCCAAGACATCAGATTTGCCATCATCTTTAAATCAAATAAGTCTAAAATCACTCATAACAAGGAACTCTGTGGGCCTCACTCTGCTGAAGAACTTCAGGAATGCTCAAAAGTTAGGATTATTTTTTTTTGCCAAACACAGATAGAGTTGTTGTTCCTCTGTACATGCAATATTGTTTGCGTGAGGCAGAAAATCCGGAAGAGGGTGTCTGTATCTGCTGAGTGATGAGTTATCTGAACTGGAGGTCTATCTTTGAATCCTCTTCAATATTCACAGCCCGAAGTGGCATATATATATATATATATATAAATATATATGTACGTATGTATGTATATCCACAGCTATTTTTATATATATATGTATAACGTAGCTGTTTGTTGCATGTTTGCACTCAAGATCAGAATAGTTGTTGTTTGATGCCAGTGTTACGTTTCAGATACATTTGGACATTCTTAATTTTCTTTTTCTTAAATTCCAGTCTTGAATGAAACTAATGGGATGGCTCAGAGGTTAAATAATTGCTAGAGAGAGTGAGAGATGAAGAGGACAGCCAGTAATGAAAATTAAAAAAAGAGAATGAGCATTAACTGTGTTTTTCTCTCTCAGTTCAATATTGGGTTTGTTGCTTCAAGTCAAACATCAGTTCTCCCTCATTAGCTTTTCTTCCTCGTGTAGGCATATTTTGTAGTGACTTTTCATTCTCCCTTTTATCAGAGACCTTTTTTTGTCTGGTAGCTCTAAATATGCTGTGCAAAAAACCCTAAATCACATTAGTCTCCCTATTTGGTGGATTTTGCCCCTAAGAAGCAGGAATCAACAACAGAGGCAGGATCTGAGTAAGAGAAGTTTTTTGCAACTGAACAGTGAAATGTATGGCTAAACTAACAGCACACTGAGCCCTCTTCTCTGGCCTTGTATTGTTGAAATTCCTGAATGGGAATTGTTAAATTAAAATTAAATGGTGTGGCTTTTCCTATAGAAGGGGTGGGTGGTAGAGTTGGTTTTCTGGTAGCTGTCAGGTACTTAAACCCATACACTTCATCCTCTCATATAAATACTTTTAAATAGTAAGCCTTTATAATCAATGTCAGACGTGAACCAAAAATATGTCGTTATTCATCTCAATAGACATAACGAAAGGTTGAATTTAGTAATATTATAGTCCTAAGTATAATGAGGTAGGAAATGGTTTTGATGACATTTAACAAGTCAGCTATAGAGTAAACAGATATGTTTTTCAAATCACAGCTCAGTTGATAGGGAATATTCTGTGAATCCTTGTGAAAAAGGATTTGAGGTTAACTTGTTTGGAAAGTCAGGTACAATTTTTAAAACCTTTTAGAATGCATTACTTCTCACTATTAATTATTTGTAGGATTAATTGTTTTTCAATTAAAAAGTCTGATGTGGACCTTGTGTGCTTAGTTTCTGATGAGAGGAAGCCAGTGCACTGATTGCTTTGGTCTCCTAAGGAAAAGAATTCACATTAATATTTGGGCCTTGATTTTTCCTGTCCCTATAGTCCTGAAATCTGATCAGCTTTGCCTATTATGGGTGTCAATGTATTTAAGAGAATGAATGACTCAGTGGATTTGGATTTGGGTAACAGGATCTAGGGTATTTAGCATCTTTATAAAGTAGTTCAAATTCAGCTCAAGCTCTCTGTGTTAGTGTAGCTTCTGGAGTCAGGCATCTGTGAATCAAGTTAATAGTCCCAGAAGTGGCTCTAGAAACCTCTCTCCATTAATGCCATATCAGCAGTATTGGGAAGAAGGCCAAAGAATTAAATGGCAGGTTGAAAAATCATTCATTGTCTAAATTCTTCTGTAACAATGGAGCAGTTGAGAAAACGTGCTGTTTGACAAAATGAGAAGGCAGCAGGTTTACACAAGTATCTCACTGCAGTGTGACATCCATTGCCTTGGACTCTTAGAGAGATGAAGATTTAAAAAGATGTTTGTCAAATCATGGAAAACAGATACATTCTGATGTAGCCCCTAGCCAGGAAGACTTTAAGCTACTGATTACTTGAATAGGAAGGTGTGAAGAGGAAGGGCTCTTCTGTATTGTCTTGTTTCTTACAGTCTTTTTTCCCACATAGTTGCTGCTGGCCTCTGCTGAGGACAGGACAGACCTCAGGGCTGAAGCAGTATGGCAAAGCTTACATTCTGATCACTATTGTCACATCATGAGGGCAATGTTGTAGCATAACAGGTGAACTGGAAGAAAAAGGACAATGGTCTGTTTGCAAATAGTGGTCTGTCACAAAGCAGTGCAATGCGTTTGTCCCTCATGTCCCTTTTTTGTTTTTCTTTAGGCAGGTGACAAGCATTATCATCCAAGCTGTGCACGATGCAGCAGGTGCAACCAAATGTTCACAGAAGGAGAAGAAATGTATCTGCAAGGTAAGGATGTCTCCATTCCAAAACAGGAAAATCAGACTTTGGAATTTTTCTACCACAGACCTCAGGAGTTTATAAACAATCTCCATGTAATATGGCCAAAGAGGAATAAAGTCATGTTGTCATACTTTTTCACTTGAAACCCTTTTGGTCTATTAGGTGGTCATAACTGTGGCTTTGCAGTGACTCTGCACCCCAGCTGAGGCAGACTGTGTTTGCTAAAGCTGTGTAGCAAAAATGAAACTTATTAGGCTGCCTCAGCATTTCACATGCCGTGGATGGCTCAGCACCCACACTGGTATAGGAGATACCAGAGGAAGTGAAGGGGTTTCCTCTGATTTCTTCTGGTCTGTTTCTGTGCTCTTCTGGACCACACTCCAAACTTTAAAAGGCAAAAGAAAAATTTCCAGAGGCTGCAGTGAGTTTGTTTTGAACCATGTAGGTCTCATTCCTCATGCACATTGACAGAGTATCTCCTCCGGTTCTTAATCATATTTGCCCTTCTATCTGGTCATGTCCCTTTTTTTATTCCTGTGTACTTTATTTTTGTCTTTCTACAGTCACTTCTTTTTTGAATGTTAATTTCCATCTCCTCTTTCTTGTTAACAGTCTCACACTCCCAGGTATTGCCAAGCTTGTTTTTTTCATGATCTTTTCACATAAAAATGAATTTGATCTTTTCCTTGATTGAAAAGTAGCCTTGATCTGAATTCCACCTACTCTTGGAGAATGTAGCCCATTAAGTATTAAGCTACAGTTATTATTATTACTTGCTGTAGTATTAATTAATGTTGGTAGAGGAATTTATGTAAACCAGAAATCAAAGTGAAAAAGGGAGATACATGCTTGGGTTTTGTATACTGCACTTATGTTAGAAAACTTGTTTGCTCTACCTGAAAAGGACTGTAGAAAAATAGTGAAAAAATTATGAGTGTGTGAATGCAGCCATCTCTTGAAATCCTGAGGAGAGATTCCTTCTGGAGGAGTTCCAAAATAAGATAATATTGTTAAGGAATTCCTTTGAAGCTAACTTGTTTTATTTTGTAGTTTGCCCTCCCTTGTAGTCCGTCTCTCTCATCTCTCACTGACCTTTTACCTTAGTCATCTTATTCCAGCTGTGCACAGAACTGGATGTCAAGTTGTGTAGCAGCTCTGCATTGCAGGAGCAAGGAGAGGCTGCAAGAGGGCTGGGTAGGAAGTACTGCTTTCTAATGGCAAATTGAAAAGACTAATTTGAAAGCAGCAGTTACAGCATCTGGCAACCGGTAATCTTCTTAATTTCCTTACATCATGGTGTGATAAAGTACAGGCAGAGTTTGAGGTGAGCATCAGTTCATCCTTTGCTGTTATTGATAACAACTGTTTGCGACTGATGCCATTTGTCCGAATGTAGCAGAGAATGGGAGTTCAGGTTGATTGGGCAGGCTCTGGGGTAAGTTTCTACAGGTCAAACCAAGACAGAAGGCATTGCTTCTACTTAAACTAGGCTAGACTTTGTCCTGTCCAAGTTTAGGTGCTAGGGGAGAGGAGAGAAACCTGGCTGCCTCATCTGCTGTTTTTCTCTTTTTAGCTGTATCTCTCTCTCTGTGATTGTGAATCAGTGTTCTTTGTGGTCACTCTGTCTCAGGGGAGGAGCAGCCCAAATTGCTTTATTGTTCACAAGCTGTTTTCTGACTAAATAGTGTTATCTCTGAGTGTGCTCCAGACTGTCCTGCCAAGGCTTTCCTTGCTGAATTGAGCGTACTTTTAAGTGTGAGGACCCAAAAGCCTTTCCTGTGCAGAGCTCTCAGCTGAAATGTATATCTTGACTCCATCCAAATAATTTACTCTAGGGTGCAGAATAACAGCATTCCAAGCATTTCTCTGAATTAAAAATAACAATGCCACAACAGTGAAGCTATAACTAAAATCACATTCTTGATAAAATACATAAAAGTACGCAGCTTCCATCTCACTTCTAATTGTCCTTTCCCCAGGACATGAAAGCACTGTTGCTGGTATTTGCTTTGTAGAATAGAGGAGCCTGGCAGGATTGTGGTAGAAACTTCTATTAGAAATGTGTGGGAAACATGCAAAAGGAGAACATGGAAAACCAAGCTGTCTATCTTGGGGCTTTCTATGTTAAGGATAGTTTGAACAAGTCAGAAGCACTCTGACTTGGCACTTCTCCAACACACAAAAAATGAGAAAGAAGCAGCACCAGAAACTTTCTCTTTCCCGTTGACTACCTGGTAATACATTATTATATTATTATATGGACTGCCCAGAAGGCTGTTGCTGAGCTTAGGATGTTGCCCAGTATTTAGAGGGATGCTGATGTTGAAATAATGGTACATGCAAAGTAAAAAGCTGAATAAATGAACATGCTATAAATAACAATAAATGAACAAGTTGGTCTTTGCCAAGTGAGCAAACAAACATATATTAAGAATGGGAATAAGTACAATTTGCTGAACTATTTCTGGTAGAAAAAAAAGAGGAGCGATGCAGCTTGAGAATCTGCACCATTCCAAGCATTTCAAAATAGATTGGCATGTTTGGATGAATAGATCATGAAAAATACTTACATTTAGTTTCCTAACCTGCTCTATCTGATTTGAGTTTTTAAATTTCACATCTTCCAAATCTCTTATCATTTTGTGGAAGAAAACTCACAACCATTAGCTAAATTTCACCATGAAAATGACATCCAGACTTGCATTTCTTGTTCACTTTCAGCAGCTGCAGCATTCTCCTGGGGTGTCCCTGTAATTGGGCCAGTTCGTGATAAATACTGCCCAAAATGCAGTGACAGCTTTTTCTTTGATACTGGGGATAGTTTAATAGGAAAGAATCATAGAATCATTAAAATTGGAAAGCCCTCTAAGATCATCAACTCCAACTCTTAACGTAACAGTGAGGCACAGAGGAATAGGGATCATTTTTCTCAGTGCCACACAGGAAAGAAGCTCAAAGCTGGATTTGAGAGTTGAACCTAAACCTTCTGAATCTTAGCTCATCCTTGAGCAATAAGTGTCATGTTCAGTAAAGTGTTACTCAGATCACTTCTTATAACATGATACGGACTTACAACATGAACTCTCTTCCTCCTGAGTGGACAGGGCACGCCTGTCTCCTGATCTGGCAGGCGCTGTGGGGCCCTGGCTCTGAGGCTGCTGTTTGTTTACAGAGAAGGCTGTTGGTACGCTTCTCCCTGTTGACTGATGGTTTCCCCCTGCCAAACGCACAGTTTCTTCTTCCTCGGCTTGGACTCAAAGCCAAACATCTCAGCCCTTGATCCAGAGTCACAGCGTTCTCTCCTGTCTCCTGATGATGATTATGTTGTGTAGTGCTGGGAAATGAAATGACTCCCGCTGGTCTTTACTTCTGTACCACGCCATGTAAGGGTTCATTAGAACAAAATTTCCAGGGGCCCTGACCCATACCTCCCCTGGGCTCTGAGGGTGGGGTTTCCTCTGGCTGCACTTGAGCTAATAGTCACCAGCAGGAGACCTGGACTGCTCTGTTTGGTTTGTCTGTGGACAGAGTGAAGAGGTGATGTTCCTCCCTGCAGATAGTTCAAGGCTCTGTGTTGGCTTTGTGGTGACTGGAGTGAAGTATGAATTTGACTGCAGATGCAGTCAGTGTTAAAAACCAGCATTAGCTTTTGCTCCGTTTCAACTTGGCTGATACCTACCAGCAGCTTCCCAGCAGTGACCACATTTTATACTCTGTTCCAAAGGAGAACTGAAATGGGATGAAAATGCTCCTTGCCCCTGACATTGCTCTGCCCTCGGGAACAGCCGTATATTTCCATTTTTACAGCATGAAAGAATCCCATATTTTGGGAAACAAACGGCAGAGGCCCTGACTTTTTTAGTAGGATGTATAGCTGGAAATACCAGAGCCACACGTGCCACTGACCTTGCAGAGCAAGGGAGTAGGAGTGATGTCTGTGCCAATGGCATATGCAGTGTGCTGGAATCTGGGGAGAGGCTCTTTCACATGCTGCTTTGTACCACCTGCCTTACTGGCCTCAACAGCCCTGTAGACAGCCCTGACTCTGCTGTGTTGTGAATTTTCTAATTTTGCTTTTCATTTTGCATAAGTGCAGGGAAGAAGTAATCTGAGTGATACTTTACAGTAACTGAATATGACACCGACTGCTCATGGACTTAGAGTCAGAATTTCCTTTTTACATGTGGTGTAGGACATTAGGGGAGAACAGATCAAGTAACCATGGCCCAGTTCCTTTGCTCTTAGTCTCCATCCTGCCAAAGGAACTCTCTGTCTTTCTGTTCCTCCAGCTGGTGCTCGCTGACTCTCTTGCTACTTGAGACTGCTTGAGTTTTAATTAAGAATGTGTGCAAAGTGCTTTGGCAGCCCCAGGACAAGGCCGCTGTAGATATGCCAGGGATTTGAATATCTTTTAGTTTCACTTGTATTTCTCAAAAACTAGACTTTAATGTGAATTACTCGCATAGTTCATACAGATTCACCACCTGATGCCATGAAGTGATTTGCTTTCATAACTGACTTATCATAACCAGAAGTCATCTGCTTTGCTCTGAATAAAGATGGGTTTCTTTCCTCCCTCAGGTTCCACTGTCTGGCATCCCGACTGTAAGCAATCCACTAAGACAGAAGATAAGCTCCGGGTAAGCTGAATTCATGGCAATGACACACCATACATTTTGCACACACGATAATTGAATGTTGTTTTTAAAAGAGTGACTTTTTCCATGTTTTTTTCACATAGCTGTCACAACTCTGGCAGAATATACAGTGGAGGCACTTCAGAGGTATTGCTCTGATTTTTAGGCTTACCACCTTCACATACCTGTCTCAGTGCACTGCCTTAAAGATAGTGTCATTTACTGACATACAGACGTGGCAAAGTATCTAAGACACTTCATTTCATATCTCAGTTGTTGTGAGAGAGACTCTTAAGGAGAAGATATGAACAGGGCAAATGCTACCATATATTTTAGTGGGTTTGCACATCTGTGTAATTGCTTTATAGTTATCCCCTGTTCTGAGTGGTTATTTGTAGCATTTAGACAAGATGAACTCTTCTTCCTTTGCCATACAAGTAAACCTCAAGCTGAAGTGATCCTAATTTGAATGCCAAGAAGAGCCACAGTTACCCTTGGAGTCACTTCAGCATATCCAGACAAACTTTCTGGATCAAATCCTGACAATAATGCTGCACTGATGAATGCTAGAGCCTGGCTTTTTGTGTGCACCAGGCAATTCTAAGCCCTTATTCACTAATTCATCTTCTGGACAATTTACTCTTTTTGATATCTCAGTTGGTCCCTTGAATTTTGCTAATTTGTCAGGATGTGAGAATTAGAGACTCCATGTGAATAAAATGTCTTTCAGACAGGGAAACTAAGAGGTACTGGTGTGGAGATACCTACAGTGTCCTGTGGGTTGTATTCTCTGTGGGTTTCATTCATTTCTTTAGCATTTATTCCAGTACACTGGTCTGTAGAACATTCCCCGCAGAGAATTTATTATGATTGTAGGTAATGTGCAGGTAAATTCTTCTTGTGCAGAGTCCATATTATTGTGGGCAAAAGTATAATTGACCCTTCATGGGTATGTTGTCTAGAATGGCCTAACATCAATGCAGGTGCCATCCAGCATTCACACATTGTTCTGTGCTGACTTTTCATAAGAAAATGGAAAATTATGCCAGACTGGATTTTCTTCCTCATTTAACAATTTGAATGTAAATTTGACAGTGTTTTGGCCATGCTTAAGTGTGAGAACACTTGTGCTTTGTGGTAAATGGTTGGGGTACAATACCTTCCTTTCACTCGGACCCAGGAGTCTTATCAAAGCACTCCTGACCACACTGCAGCCCTTGCAAACCTTCTCCAGCTGGACCTTACAAATCAGTTGGTTTACTTCCATTCCCCATGGAAGTGGCCATAGTCCTCCTCAAGTATTTTCCTTTTTTCTGTCACATATTCTAACACATCAGTATTCTTCCCTCTCAGCTAATTTTAATTGAAGTGAATGAAGTAAATTAATTAATTTACCTGCAAGGCTTTTTTTAAGTGAGTTCTTGCAGGAAGATAAAGTGAAGCGGAAGAAGGTGTATTGAGGGAACATCTGAGAAATGTTACAGTACAGCTATCCTAGGTTTCCTTGTTCCTGAGTGAGAGATTCTATGCAGAGGTTTAATATGTCTTTAAAAGGCATTGACAAATGCATCATACTGAAGCTGGCTGAGAGATGGAGCATTTTTAGCTTCAACACTACATCACAGGTTGTCTACTCTGGTGCAAAGTCAGATACTTTAAAATTAGTTGGAATTCACTTTGATGACTTTGACACATGCTTCATTCTATTGACCCAAATGAAGGAAGTAGCAAACAGGTAGGTACAGAAACAAACAAAACTGGGGGAACTATGTGCTATTTGAGCATGTCAGCACTAAATTAGGAATTGTATTTTAATTGAATTTCAGTTTCTTATGACATACATTTAGACCTAATGTGAGAATTGGAACCTGTTTTTTGAGTTGACAAATAGCCACTTTCAGGGTTAGGCCTAGATTTTCTGGTGGTTCTGCAAAAAGCCAGTGCCATTGCCTATTTGCTTGCTGGGTTTCCTTTCCCTATGGAACAAAACAAAACAAACCAAAAAGCCCTTTTATCACTGAAGTAACTTCAGAAGTTTTCAGCAAGTTCTGTTTTCTTTTAGTGACTGAATTGTGATCTAAACTAATCATCATTCTAGCTGGTCAAGATCTGAAAGGGAGTTCATTAAAGCAGAGGTTGCTTTAGATCTTCCCCCCATGGATACTTGTGGAATATTACAAAGCCAAAACAAACAGAAAACAGAACAACCATAATGTATATCGTTTAGGTGTTTATTTAAAACTGTCTGGCTGTTCATGATTCTGCAGTGATCAGTAAGTAACACGGATACTATAACGCAAGTAGATATTAGTAACTTGATTGAAAAAAGAGCTTAACCACTGAACTGGGGAAACTGCTTTCCTTTTCACTCATTTTTCCCTTTTGTGTTTCATGACAGCATTCCTCATCTGAGTTCTTTTATCCAAAGAGTCTGGTTCTGCGCAGGCCACGCTCTGCAGAGGTTTGCTGTTGTGTTTTCATAGTGTTGATAATGATCTTCTTTACTGAGAAGATTCTTCATTATTGTCATTTGCTGCACTTGCTACTAGTCCTGCCACACAGCTTTCCTGCTATCACTTGCCACCATGGGCACTGACGCTGTATTTTGCATCACTTGTTTCAGTGTTGCTTGTTAATGCTCACATTTTTTGTTGAATGAAATGCTTAAAATTAACTTATTTTTTTTAGGTTCAGATGAGCTTTTGGGGGCTGTAGTATTGGTCTTCCAGTATTCCAGAAAGTTTTTTCTCATGAAACAAAAAATCAGAGTGCAAATATGAAGCAAATGAAAATGGTGAAAAGCATCTGACTTTAAAGCGATGGTTAAAAAGAAATTGTTTTCCATGAACAATTACTTATGTTTTTAGGAAAAAAAAATCCCATTAGTTAAATCAGTTCCTTTTTTATATGTATCGACCAAACACACATGAATACTTTGTTGAGAAAATATTTACAAAATTCCAGGTTTGGGCATATTCCATGTGCTGCCTGAGAGCATTTGCCTCTCTCTAATCTGGCGCACATCTCAGTTGCAAGGTCTTCCCTGTCCTCTTGATTCTGGAATAGCTTTCTACTTTCAGACTTTGTTGTGTTTGCTTTGCACTTACAGACACCACCCACTTCCATTTCTTCTCCTTCAGGGCAGTGCTTATTTATTAGGTGTGTCTGCTGTAGGGGATGTGTGGCTGTGCTGCATGCAGGTGTGCCTGAGGTAGTTTTCACCTGGTGATGAAGTCAGAATGCTCTGGTATGGACTTAGCACAGGCTGGCAGTGGGCAGACAGGCTGAGAGAGTCCATGCCACTGGATTTCCATTGTGTCAGTTCATGTGGCCTTCACATCTCTAATTGCAAAGTAGATGTGGTCACATGTCAGCCAGGGCAGGATGCGTGTGATAGATCCAGTCTGCAGGATGGTCTTAGGTGGTTGGATCCAATACTGTGATTAAATGGGGGTTAATGCAAGCCCTGTACTCTCTGTCCTGCCCAGTAGTTTAGTCGCTTAACTACTCTTGAATATTACTCTCTGCTAGCTACAGATCTGTGTATCAAGAAAATACAGCCTGTGTTATCCGTGCTCTTAAGAGAGCAACGTCTCTTCAGTCCTAGGCTTTATGGAATTGAATGTTGGAGTCTAAGAACAGCAAACTGTGGGACCATTTCACTCATCTTTTAGGCTAGTGTAGTGGCTTTTGCATTCAGCTTAGCATGCACGAGCCTGAGTTTCCAGTGCTGAAATCCAGGAACCTTAGGATTAAGAAACCAAATCCTATCCAATGTATTAGAAAAATATGCAAGGCAAAATAGGGGCAGCCCACGTCAAAATAAAGGAATGTTCTCTTCCTTGCTTTGTAGACTGTGTTGGATACAAATAGCTTAGGGTCAGATGAATATCCTCTTGTGTAAATTTGGGCAGTACTAAATTCTGTTTAGATTTATGTGTGGATTCTACAAAGTGTAACTCAAGGGAGAATTTGGCCTCAAGGGTTCTGCAGAGTAGACACAAAGATAGTATCATTGCTGTTACTATAAAGGTGGGCCAAAGGTTTGAATCTACACGAAGATTGTAGTTTGAAAATGGTAGGGTGAAAGCCTGTGAATTTCCTGAGAAGCTTGTGTTGAATTCATTATGTTCTGGACTTCCCACTTTATTTTCTTGTTCTTTCCTGTCTTGTTCTTAACTGACTCTTGATGAAGGCTAAGTTTGCATGAGTAGTCTTGTAAAAGTTTGTTTGGTACCAACATACCTGCAGTGATTACGTGCTGAAAATTCATTCTCCTCTCTGGTGTTAGTGCCTAAAAAGGAAAGAAAAATTAGTTGTAACATATTAATATCTGTGTTTGTGTGAGTTTGAACTAAACCCATTCACTGGTTTTGTCTTGATGCATATATAGTGCAGAGAAATAAGAAATGCACGCATTTGAAGGATACACCCTTGTAAGGAGGAGGGTACAGTTAAATAGCAGACAGGCGCAGTGAATGCTCTGACACTGAGGGGCTTTCTTGGTCTTGTACACAGCCACTGGAAATTACTGAAATCTGTAGGAAGCCTATGTTTTGTGAACTCTGGTTCCAAGTCCTAAATAACTACAAAACCTTGCAATTGATGAAGCAGGTAGTCAGAGTAACAAGTGTTGTACTGAGAAATCCCAAATCCCTTGGTGTTGCAAAGTCGTGTCGGCCAAATAGAAGATATTCCATCCTAAACTTCTAATAGCTTATTTACAAACATGCTTCACTTAAAGTAGCTTCTGAGGTTTAGAGAATTTGCTGAAGCTATAATGTTAAGTGTTATTAAGTGAAAACATATTCATTCTTCTGCAGCTATTATCACCGCCTTGCATAATGAACTCTATCAAAAAATTAAGGCAGGTACTGTAAATGGGGACGATGCCTTTGTTAAGCAGTAGTGCATCCACTTGACCAGATGTTCTTGGGATCAGTTTTGATCTGGTTGCCTGCACCTGTAAGTTTTTATAGAGCATGATGCTGAACATCTGTACTTCAGAATGCCAGAGCCACCACATTGTAGCAGCATTTGGATGATGTGAATGGCTCTAGGCTCGATTCTTTATTTTTCTTTTTTTTTTTTTAGAAGTTATTTACATGGTGCACCATGCATGATGACATGACAAACAGAGGTAAATCCAGATGAACATCTTAAGCTTTGCAGTCCAATATTAAAATATCAAGTTTATCAATTTGGGGCATATGCATGGGTGATATGATAATTGAGCACTCAATTCACAGTGAGCGTAAGAGGATGAGCATGACAGTTGGTATTACCTCTGCCAGTCTGCAAATGGAACTGGTAAAGAACTTCTACATTGAAGTCAAATGCATGAAACGAAGAACAAAAACAAAAATAAGAACTCTATGATAAAGTGGGAAATATTGAGTAGTCTTGTAGATACTTTAGATGCTTTGTGATCTGTTTTTTTCCTTTGGCTCCTTTAATGACATGCATGACTTTTTGTTGACTGAATTTCTATTGTTTTTTTTCATATACTTCATAGAGTTTCTGTATTTGGTACAGACATCCCATACTGATATATTTACTACTGTTACATCCGTTTGCGTGGAAGATGAAAGAAAAAAAGTGATGACTCTTCTACTGTCAGAAAAAGTGGAGAAAGGCCATGTACCACAAGAAAAGAAAAATTAAAGTTTAGTTCTTAATAGAATTTTTCTTGAAATTTCTCTGCACAAAGATGGCATTATGAAAAGCTCTACTTTGTTTCCTTCAAGAAAAAGAACAATGATACAAAAAATGTTCCAGATCTGTTTATAGAAGGAGTAAGGCAGCTTAACTTGTTTGGTTGCTGGGAGTGTAGAACAAGTGAAGGCTACTGTGATGGAAGTAAATACCTCTAAATTATTGTGTTCATATTAAAGATTGTTTCCTTCTTCTTTACCTGTTTTTTTCCACTAATGTGTGCAAGACAAGCTCACATGTTATCTCCACATCTCCAATGTTAAAGGTTACATAAGGGCTAGCCACTATTCCTGTTATTTACCTGTGCTCTGATCAGCTCCCCTCTACAGTGGAACTTACACCCTACTGCAGTTACATCAACACAGAACTTGACCTCTAGCGTGTCTCTTGCCAGCTGTTTAATGTAAAAAGTCACAGTGGTGTTACACAGGGTCAGGGATTCTCAAATGCTGATGAAAATGTAATGTTCAATTTAATAAAAGCCATACCCGGTCACAGATTTTCAGTCAGGGGCTATTACAGGTCTCTTAGGAGGGGAGCCAACCATAGCAACTAAAATTATGCCAGAGGAACAGCTTTTATCAAGGAATCTTTAGTGTATGTTTGTTAAGGCAAGCAGCATAAATGTTTTTAAGTGCAATGCAGTTGTCTTTAGGGGAAAGTGCAAAAGCTGTGAAGGATTCCCATTCCATATGGGAAGCAGCAGAGTAGGAAACAGCCATCTGTGATGGAAACAGCCTGTGTAATTCAAAACAAGAAACAGGGCAAAGTGAGGCAGGAGGGGTGAGTGTAGATATAGAAGTCCTTTTTCATGCACTGTCTTTGAGGGTATGTTATAAATGTAAGCAAGATAAAGGACTGGGAGCTAAGAGAGGAACCTCAGAGTTCCAGGTCTGCTTGGATTCAGCTCCTCAGGAAAGGAGCAGCGTGTGCTCAGGCAGTGGATGGCAGGATGGCATCCTGCCCAGGCTGTGTGGAGCTTTGCAGAAGATGGAAGGTAAAATTGATGTACACAGAAAGAATTACATAAAATAGAAAACTGGTTTAAAGGGTGTCATATCTGGCTCATGGCCTTATTAATGGAATGGTAATGAGGAACTTGGAGCAGAAACACAGTGAGGAAATGAGGAACAGGTGCGACAACATGCAGGTCCATCTGACAACTGCTCCTATACTCCAGGGTTAAGAGCACCTAAGAAAGCTGTTAACAGGATATGGCTGACACTATCTTCTTAAGATGTCTTAACTTTTTTTAATAAATTCACTGAAGTGATAAATGCAAGTGAATTTTCCTTAAATGAAAAGATTTTTAGCAGTGACACTGAGGTGAGACTAAGGAGGTGGGCTGAGGGCTGAGAATTTCTCGTTTTTTGAAGCAATTACAAAAGATCCAAAGGGCCTGCCAAATGGGAAGAAGCCATAACTGCCTCTAAGACTTGTTTTCCTACAGCATGGAGAATTGAGCAGACAAAACTCTTAAAGTATGTCTGCCAAAAGCCAAAGGTAACAGAGACACCCCTAACAGTACCTCAAGTACTTAATACTGTTCCCTCTGTTGTAATGAAAACAATTGTTTTCCATAGCAACTGCAGCAAAATGCTACATGTGTCTCCACTCAGACAGAGCGAAATGGAAGAATGGAAGGGGGAGTAAAGTGTTTCCCAACACCAGCCAGATTTTCCAGCTTAATTCTTGTAACATTTCCATGAAACAAGTGGTTGTTGTTGGATTTTTTTGTTTGATTGCATCATGGGAGGAGCTTAAGGGCAGCTGAAAAATTTCTGTTCCCTTTTGAGATGTAGGAATTTGCAGCTACAGAGAGAAAAGAAACATGTAAAGGTCCATCTGAGAAAGTGTTCTCAGATGTGCTCTGGAGAGTATTTGTGACTTTATCAGTCCACAGCCACATCTGCTTTCTGTTTGATCTTAATCTTCACGGGTTTTGGTGGCACATACTCAAAGCCTTTTATTCCTCTGGTGCTCCCTGAGTGTGGTGATTTCATTTCCACAAATGAAGTCAGAGAAAGCCTGCTGTCTGATCCACAATCAGTCTTCAACATTTCATTTACGGATGGTTCCAATAGATTTCCTGGCTATGAAATTAAAAGTAGAAAGTCTCTGAGGTCAATTGAAAAATCCTTTCAGGAAATGTATGCTTAGAGATAAGAAAGATCCGGTAGCCTTTTTGTGTTCACTCCGGTATTTCCTATATAAAATCAGTGAGCCAGGCTGTCAAGCCTTGTTTCTCTTCAGTGTGTGCCTGGAGGTCCCTTAGTTCAATGTCACAAGCTGATGACATAAGGACTGTTTACCAGGGTTTAATTTCAAGTGACTTTGAAGTATCCCAGTGCACTGGTGTCATCAGAGTCATCTGCTGACGCACTGCTTTTTGATGGGATTTGATTCTTTGCAGCCACTTAGGGAGCGAAAATTGTTTATGGTTTCTCAGTTGCAAGTGGGATATGGTTGACTACCTTTGTGTGTCTGCTGTGTGCCAAGTTTAGGAGTAATTGCCACAATAGCCAGAGTGACTTTTGATCAAATAGATGTTTTTCAAATTTATCAGGCTTTCAGGATCCCCTCATCTTGGTGATAAGTTTTCTCCTCTCACAGAACTTCCCCCAGGGCATCAGTGTCTGTTTAGATCTGACAAAGTGTTGGAAAATCTACTAAACATAATAGCACTCGCTCTGTAGGGGTGGGACTGTTCTCATGAATTTCAGATGTTGTCATTAAACATCATGACTTTTGCAGTATGAGGAATCATGGAATTTCAACCAGCAGTTTGACTTCCCTACTGCATCCTGATGGTGCTGCAGATATAGGGAACAGTGCCAAGCAAAGGATTTCAGGTCCTTCTACTTAGAAGGACTGCATTCAGTTCTGTATTCATAATGGAAATCCATTGATTGAACACCTGGAAAGTGATAATGTGTGTGCTGTGCTCCTCACAACAATTTTGTCTGCTGAACTGCTGATACCTCTAGTGGTTTGTGAACTAACGTTTTGCTAAAATGACCAGCAGGACTATCCTGGATGGTACTTTGGCTCCTGCAGTGTCTCTGGCAGGTGTTGTTTGATTTTGTTCTTTATTATTGTCAGTCTAGTCTTTTACATTGTTTGATTTAGAAAACCTCTTTCCCCTCTCACAGCACTCCTTCCCCTACCAAAAAAAAAAAAAAAAAGCCCACTTGCCTCACAAGATTGTGAAATTTGCCAGAATGCTTGCATTTGTGTTGACATTTTTTCCTAAATTCAGTTAATTTCAAGATGTGTGCAGATTTCTTAATTTAAACTCAAAATTACCAATGTTGATGGCTTCAGGTTGCTTTCAAAAGTTACTTTTTGTTTTTCAGCCTACAAGAACGTCATCAGAAAGCATTTATTCCAGACCAGGTTCCAGTATACCTGGCTCTCCAGGCCACACTATCTATGTAAGTATTCCTTCTGAGGAATAGGCTGCTCGCCCATGAAATACTCACACTGAAATGAATCACTGTTACACTGATGCCAGTGCCTTTATTCTAGTGGTAAAATCATTATTTCTCCATGTAGCTTTTATAATTGTAGGACTTCGAGGGCAGAGTAGGCCTTTTCCAGGTCACATTTCCCTTGGAAAGATACAGTAAATCTCTTGAAGTCACTTCATGATGTGAAGGGGGACAGAAGGCAGATGGGTCATTTGGCTTTGTAAGGGTTATGTGAGGAGATCTGTGCACTTTGATACACAGTTTTTGAGAGATCTGCTGTCTGCACTTGCAGGATGTCGGGAGGAGGGTCAGCTACACTGAAAGAAGCCTGATTGATCCAATACCTTCTGTTTCAGAAGTCGGATGTTTTGGTTGTGAAAAGAAGGGTGTTTTGAATTTAAGATCAAAATTGTAACTAATCATAATGCTGAATCACTGATTTTATAGATAACCTTGAAACTATATGGGTGAAAATGTAATGTAAGACACAGAAACGTATCAGTGGCATGTATAATAATGCAGAAAAATCACCAAAATTACAAATCTCAAGTCCTGAGTTTGAGTTCAACTCTGGTTCTTCTGTGCATTTCAACAACCACAAAAATTAGCTGATGTGTGAAAGGTGTTCACACTGCAGGTATCAAAACACAGAGCATGTCCTGGAGAACTGCCATTCTGCTGGTAATATCAACTTCATAAACTGTAGCGTTTATGAAATTGAACTGCTGCTCAAAATCAGTCTGTAGGGCAACATGGTGGCTTAGACCGGGGTCTGCAAAAAATATCTGTAGTTGTTTATTTTGGATTAAGAATATCCAGACATATTTGTGTCTCATTAACAGACTGTGGTAGAAATACTACAGAAATAACATATGTTAATTTACCTACATATTTTATGGTTACATTTGTTTAAGGTGTTGGTTTATATCTGGTAAGTAAAAGCTAAACAGATTTGAGGCTATTTTTTAGACAGTGAATTTCCCAGCTATTTCAAACCTTGTTTCTCTAAGAAAAACTGTTTCTAGTTTATGGCACTGCTTAAGAACCACAAAGACCAGTGGTTGTTAGAGAACTTGGAAAGGCAAATGCATGTCAATCTGAAAATTCTAGGCTCTAGTACTCAGAAAGAACAGAATTGAGTGAGTTTTGTTATGCAGCCCACTATGAATAAATAAAATATCTAGTAGAAGTGTTGAAAAACAATTTGAGTATCCTTCTTTTGTAAGGTAGGTAAAAATGTATGATGATATTTTTTAGAAATCTTTTTATAGGGAAAGATATTAGCTCTCTAAACTAAATATGAGGCCTCTTTCTAGCTCCTTCTAGTGTATGTATCTTACTTTGGAACTGATTTCCTACTTCCATTTTTTAACTAGTCAAGAGTTCCTTGCAGTCTTAGTGCAAAAAATAGTTGATGCCAGAACCATGCAGTTGGTCAGCAGTGGATGTCTTAGTCAGAAGCTTGGGTATAGGATGAGTGATGAGTGCAATTTAATAATTTCATTTGGGATTTTGGATACCCAGTCCTCACAGTCCTCCTTGTCTCTTTATTTCCTTTTAATAAGTTCTGTTTCCTCTTGTGTGCACAGCTATAAGTTGAATACCTGTCTGTGGTCTTCAGCATGGAATCCCCTTGTAATCTCTGTAATCTGCAAACTAAATCGATGTTATCACCATTTTACATGTGGGAAAACAAGAGCAGAAAGGTGACAATACTTGCCTGAGGCCAAAAAATTAATCATTTGCAGAGCTGAAGTTTTCAGCTCACTACTGGGGATAAGAAACTTTTGTATATAGAACTATATATGCCATGTTCTTTCTTCCCTAAACCAAGAAAACAGTGTGAACTGTTGCAGAGGAGGCTTGCTGGAGAAGAACAAGAAGCATTCACTTTGCATGTAGAGCGCCAAAAAGAGTTTTCCATAGAAACAGTGTGACAACAAATACACAAAATCATAAATTGTGTAAAACAGAAATTGCCAGTGCATTTGTGTAAGTTAATTTATCTTCTGTCTTTGACCTTCAGGCAAAAGTAGACAATGAAATCCTTGATTACAAGGATTTAGCAGCCATTCCCAAAGTCAAGGCTATTTATGACATTGAACGTCCAGACCTAATTACTTATGAGCCATTCTACACTTCCGCCTACGAGGACAGACAGGAGAGACAGAGTCTTGGAGAGGTAATGAACCAACAAGCAACTCATTCCGCTGTGTGCTTTATATACAGAGCCTGCTTCGCTTCTAATTGACACTCCTAGATGCTGTTGCTGCTGCTGTTCACAGTGCTTTTTGTCTGTTTTGTCTGGGGTTAATGGGAACACTCATGATGATGCCTCGTGTGTGAAACTGCACAATTGGACACCAAATCAACACCAGCCACTGGCAGAGGAATGGCGGGGGGAGGCTTGCAGGCTGTCTCTGTGTGAATCCTCATAACTCTCATGGATATCCTAGTCTTTGGGTACAGCAAAGTCCAAAACATGGGGCAAAAGCCTCACGTTGTGCTGGGGAGCACTGATATTCACAACATAACGTGAGGAATACCATGATATTCTATGGCAGAAGCAGGACTTAAGAGCAGCAGGATACTTTATCTCACACATACTGAAGAGAAATATATTGCCGGAGCACTTTGCCAGGCATTCTGGATAAAATCTGAACTGGGTCAGGATGAAGTGCTCTTCCACCTGGGAAAGCGGGTTAGTTGTGTTATAGAAATACCTGCCTCACATTTTAAACTGCTGATATTTAGTAAGGATTCCTGTATCATGCAATGATAAGAAAAAGTATCTCTATTTTCTTAAATTTGTATTTAAAAGTATCTTTCAGACTGTAGGGTCGCCAGTTTTCTCAGGTGAATTTCCATAGCTGCAGTTACTATTTACATGATTCCAGTGCAGACTCTGAAGCAGGTTTTGTCATGTAATACCATCTTTCTGTAAATCAGACTTCCTGAATGCAAATCTAAGTGGACATGGAAATGGATTTACCTCCTTGCAGTCTCAATGACTTTACTGATTGTAACTGAATTGAGTATGAATTTGAGCTGAGGAGAAAAGAATTACAGTAAATCATTCAAGCACCAGTGGTCTGTAGATGCCCAGATCAGTGTGACTGATAATCTGCTTTCTTAGCAGTGTTCTGCTCACCAGCAGGTCAGAGCTCCCTCAGTTTTTCTCCTTTGTCCTTTAATGTTTTATAGGGTTAGCTTCTTAAATAATAACATGAGTTGAAAATTCAGGAGACTATTCAGCTCAGGAATAAAATAAAGAGATTAATGGGTCAGAACATTACAGAATTTCCCCCCTCCAATTTATGTTGGTAGTGTATCCAGCTGGCACCTGATTCAAAACCACTGAGTGGTCACCATTGGTGACCTCTGACCAATTCCAACAGGCCTGACCCATTCCACAAAACCCACTACAAACACAAGTCTCTTGTTAGTTACAGAGGAAGAACTAATTTCACCAGAGAAGGTGAACTATTTGTTCATCCTTAAAGGGAAGCTCCTTACTGACAAAGCAGTATGTTGGAAGCTGATAAAGCAGTATGGTGCAAGTTGCCTGCTTTTATGCTTGTTCTGGGAATAAGCAAAAGCCTTTGGGGTTTCCTTGTATCATATTTTCACCAGCATTAAATTCAGTTAATTTCTAGTGAGTACAGAAATTTGTTCTGGAAACAGAAGAACTGGGTTTTTCAGACAATGCTACTGCTGACTTCTGTCACCTTGGGCAAGTTATCTCACCTCTTTGTATCTGTTTCTCCTCCCTTCCCTTGCCCTAATGAGAACACAAGCCCATTGGGGTGGAGTGGTCCCTTACCTTGTGTTTGTGTTGTGATAGTCGAGTGACAACAGTCTTGGTATATCTACCTCAGTCACCATTATCTTTAAAAAGCAAAGGAGTTGACATGTTTAGTCATGGCAGGGATTTGCAGACTGAGTGATTTAACCTGCATTCTCTTTGCAAAGGGGGGGTGTGTGGTGGTGTTAAATAAAAGGGGACCCTGAGTTTATTCTACACTAGAAATGCCCCTCACCATGATTTAAAAAAAAAAAAAAATCACCAGTCTCAGCTAAGAAAGATTTCTGTGTGTACAAGGGAAATGTGCAAGAGGCACCAAAGTTGATCCAGAGATGGAGACAAACCTTAATTATAAGGAATGAGCTACAAAACAATGACATACTTTAGCCACAGAAAGTGCGAAAAAACAGCATGAGACTGTCATCCTCACTGCAATGGCAGGGAAATGCTCTGCCAGGTTTCCCACTCGTGGTCCCTTTTTCAGGAGAATCCCGATGTTTGTGGAGCTCGGAAGGCAGCGCTCTCCCACAGCTCCCCCTCGCGGGTGAGCTCCGAGCGTGCACGAGATTAAAAGATACGAATGAAATTTGCAAATTAATCTTTCCTAGCGAAACTGGCCCCTAAAGGAGTGATAATGTTTCCAGAAACCGTCAGATACTCAAGTTCTTCAGGTCCTGCTATTCTGCCCTGTGAGCAGCAACCTGATGAGTACTGAAGTCTTTTCTCAGCTCTGATCTTTGTTGCGTATATATGTATATATATATATATATACACATGCATATATATGTGGAGAGAGAGAGAGAGAGAGACAGAGAGACAGAGAGAAGGAACATTTTAGCTCCGTGTCCTTTATTTCATGTATTCTGTCTATTGAAAGCACTGAATGTCCGTAACAGCTTTCAGTAAACAAGCTGTCATAAAATGAGAAAAAGTTTTTTCTAATGTGATAGATGCTTCAAAATGGAGAAGGCATTCCACCTGGTAGTTCAATTAAAAGACAGTTAAAATGGTATCAGTGAGAACTTTTGTTACAGAAGGACCCCTATAAAGTTTGTAGAAACTTCCCGGAGCACAAAATGACCTGTGCAACTTCAGGTATTAGAGCAGACCCTCAGATCTCAAAGCAATAGGGCATTGGGCCTGTTGCAGTAGAGGTTTCACTGTGTCTTTGGTTGGAATGGGTCTTCTTCCACTTCCCATTCCCCTTCCTCTTCTTTCTCTTTCCTATCTGGAGTTGTCACTCTGTATTTCCACTGGTTTACTGTTCTGGAAAAGAGCTGCTTTTCTCAGCTGTCTGCACAATGTATTTCAAACTGATTATAGTGTAGACTCTGCAATACACCAGGTTTTAAAAGACTTCATAAACCCTGAACCAAACATTCCTTGGCAGCCTCCGAGTTTGAGATATGACAGCTCACCTGTGCATGATAAACAGTAACTTGGCTGTGGAGTGTGGTTCCATTTCCCAAAAAGCAACGAGATGATGTCAGGTAGTGAGGGAGTAAAAATATATGAAAGGAAAAAATACATGGATTCAGCAGGCTACTTTCTAGGCTGCCTTCCCAGTCTTAGATTCCTGTGACTACCTTTTACTGTAGCTATCACCTTAGCATCTAGGTAACCACAGCAGGTGATGGAAATTTGTTTATTTAGAGTAACACATGAGTTACTAGTAGATAAAAGTGGGAATGCACCTCACAACATGTGCTTTTTTGATTCATATTAAGAGTTTTAGATTAGCTCTTGGTTTTTGTGGAGAATGATGGTCCAAAGCACTGTGTATGATACGTTTCATGTAGAGCAAAGCTTTTAGAGCTGCTGTTAGATTATAAGAATTAGGAAAATAAGAATGTAGAAGACATTCAAGGCTTTGACTGAAAGTGTCAAAAGCAGTCTTTAAAAGCTTTATGGAAAATTGCTGAAAAGGAGATGTTTTGTATCCAATAAAAAAATGTAGCTCGTTTGGATACTTTGCATTCCCAGTGTCACCAGCTCTGTGAGATTTAATGGTCTCTCAATGCAAAATATATAGCTGGATATTTAATACCAGAAGTTCTGCATATGCTTTACACTACTGCTGTTGTACATTATTGTAGTAGTTAGACCAGAATCTGCAGTTTTGCTTCCGAGATACTATCTTAAAACTATATCATTCTGTAATAATTATGGTCTTATTTAAAAGCATAATCACTTGCCCAGTTTATTATGACAAATAATATTGAAGTTTTGTGCACAAAGAAAATAATTAAGTCCTCATCTTCCAGCTCCAAATTGTCTGGTGATTAAAGGGCACATAACTGGTAATTATACATGGCCTTTATTCTTGTTCATACCATCAGTGTATGCATAATCATATGTCTCATTTCTAAAGGTATTTCTTGCCTCAGTTTCCCTATCTGTGTTATAGAAACTTTTCATAATATTGTGCATATTTCTGCCCACTGGCCTTTGTGCAGTTCTTTCAATACACTTGCTTGTAATTCCTGTCTGTTCTTACATAACCATGGAGGAACACAGAGATTTAAAGGAGGTCATATCAAAGAAATGTTGATGACAACTACGTGCTCCTTTGCATGAGTATGAAATGTAAGGCCTTGGGGAGAAGCACATTTTTGCCAGTGTGTGCGTTGGAGGAAAAACATGCTTCATCCTGAAAGATATTCTGTATTTTGATTTTCCATGCAAAGCTCTGAGTTAAGTTTATTTACTTTTGATTTCCATTTTAAAGATTTCTTCATAACAGGCATGGTTATTAAATTAATAACTCTTTCTGATTTTGATCTTCACAGCTATGTTTTAATTACCACAGTGATTAGATGGCTAAGACAATCTTGCATGATACTTGACTGAATTAACCACCCGTATAAAGATTCTCCCAGAAACTTTAAACTTCAGTGATTTATGGACCAGTTCCTGAGCAATGTGGAAAAAGCAAATTCTGGTGATGGAATGGCCTCAGTAATTTCTGCATTGCCACTTTACATTGCCATATATCAGAGTATCTGCAGCGATGTTTAGATTACCATTTTCTGGCCCAGTGCATGCAGTGATATTTCATAACCTTATGTTTTATGTCTTTGCAGTCTCCAAGGACATTATCACCTACCCCTTCTGCAGAAGTAAGTCTGGTGGAACCTTTGGGGGCAGTCTCTTACTGTGATTACAGTTATTCAGTTGAGCAAATCCGGGTGTTGGTTTTGTTAGCAGTCTGATTCCTCTCTGTTTGCCACATAGACATGTTTTCTAATATTGAAACTTAACAAAAATTATTTCTAAGAAGGAAACTTAAGCTCTTATTGACAGATTGTACAAAACATGAAGCAGCCACTCCTCCTCTATTGTTGTTTGTAAAGCAGAGCCCTTTGTCCAGCAGGCGTCACTTCTGGTACATTCCTCCTTCCTGTGGCACAGGCGGATTCCGATCTGGATGATTTACATGAGATAAAATGCTACTCTAAGCAACTAAATGATAACTCATGTTTGCTACTGAAACATGTGCAGTTTTGTCTTGAAGAAAACAGAACTATGGTTTGTTTTGGTTTTGCGTAGGAGTTAATTTGAATATCATAATAAAATGAAATTAATACATGAAACATTTGGGAAGTAATTTGTCAGGATACAATAGATACTATTGCTTATGCATTATCATTTTGAGGGTGGAGAGTGTTGCTTTTTTGCAACTTAAAAGTTGTACTGATTTCTATGTGTTTAAAAAGTGACTATAAAATTTCTTGTAAATCTTCATGCATTAACATCAGTCCTTTCCCTTTTGTCCTAGTTTGGTTTGCTTTGTGGGGTTTTTGGGGGGTGGGTTTGTTTTGAGGGGGGTTTTTTTGTTTCTTTCTTTTGCTGGCTTTTTTCCCCAGGAAACCAAGTAAATTGAATTTTGCTATATGAGAAAGTGTCATGTTTTCTGATACAAGGGGAATCTAATTTGGATAGTAAATTCCTATAGATGTAGCTAGTTGTGACACATGGTAAATTTAGGCAGACTCTGTGCTGTAGCTTTTGAATTCTTGCTGCCAGGTTAACCAGCTGAAGGCAAGCTCATGTGTCTTGTGCAGGACATTGCAGGATAGACATATTCTGGCTGTAGCTTCCCTTGTGGAGTCAGGGAATGTGGGCAAATCTAGGATTATATAGAATTTAACAGAAATTACAGGTGGAGTTGGAACCGTCCAAGAATGAACTTTGTCCTTGACTATAAAAATGGATTGAACTCTTTGGAACAGATCACTGAAGAGCAGTAATAATGAAGTAGGTTGAAAGTTTAAGGGATATTGCTATTTCAGTAGCTTCTGCTGATGCCTTCAGATCTGTGGAAATTAAGTGCTGCTAAAGGTGTGCAATGTGCATTTACATTTATTAGTGAATGCTTCTGTTCTGCAGGGTTACCAGGATGTCCGGGATCGCATGATTCACAGGTCTACTAGCCAGGGCTCCATCAATTCTCCAGTGTACAGTCGTCACAGCTACACACCCACCATGTCACGCTCCCCTCAGCATTTCCACAGACCTGGTAAGGGCAACTGCATTAGAAGTATGTGTAAAACTATTGTTTCTTTATTATGCCACTTAGTGGTGCAGTGAAGCACTTGTTTCTTTTAGGAGTGAAAATTCAGGATTGAAAAATTGTTGCGTATTTTAATATCTCATTTTCTACCTGTTTTTTTTGTTCTTGACTGTCGTAGTCTTTTGCACTAGGCTATGAGTGTTGCTTATGTCATAAATATGTATCTTCTGGTTTCGTTTCCAATCAATTATTTTTAAAATATTTGTATGTTTCTGAAAGCAAGCAAAAATTTGCAGCCGTGAATCACAAACTTCATTCTGGAATTTGGAAAAAGTATCATATATTGGAAGCAAAAATTATGGCTTGACTATGCAGAAGTCAGTAATGTAGGTTTACTCTCTTCTAAAAAATTCATTTAAAGCTTGGTGCCACCATAGAATCTCATATTCAGCAGCAAAACACCCATATGTTCCAAATTGCTAGTCATTTTTTAAAGCATGTACTCATGGTTCACAAGGTATCTTTCTTAATTAAAGCCATAGGCAATTGCCTGGGAACACTTGAAAACACAGACTTCATTTTCTGGTTTAGCAGTGATGTGCAAGTTCTGTGTGCAATCTAGAAAATGTACAGGTCGTTCAGGTTCCCAGTGCATTCAAAATTACTGGTTGTGTATATAAAAGCTAGACATAAAAATGAACTATTCATCCACACCCAAACAGCGTAAAAATGTATTGCTAAATGCTATTCATTGAAGACTCTTCAAGACTGATTTTATTGTGTATGGTAATGAATTAAATCTTTGTAATCTGTTTTTAAATTAAGTGATACAATCGCACGGTTTCATCTTCCTTGGTGATTACAGCTGAACAGTTGGGATGCCAAAAGCCCATATGCAATAGGAGCTGCATTTTTAAAATTAAAGATTTATAATAGAGCCACCACTGTGGAACTTGAATGCTGTAGCCATTTCCTAGTGGGGGTGGGCTGAAAGCAGCCAATTGTGTCTGTCAGTGAATGCCTTATTTACGGGACCCAGGGGAGGTGGGACAGAAGCAAATTGTGTCTGATACTTGGTGCTGACAACATGACTGTGTTTTAAGATGACGTTACAACTGAAAGTGAAAGAGACTTGAAAGCATGAAAAAGCTGCAAACTTCTGTCTCTTGATTCTGACAATTCTGAGGGGGTTTTTCCGTTTATATCAGTTGTATCAGAGATATGAACAAATCCAGGTCCTATTACAGACTCTACTGTGATTGAGTTTTACTGTCTGTGTTCAGTCAAAGACCTTCCCCAGAAGCAGTCTCTGTTGATGTAACTCTTGTGATGGGCGAATGGGCTCAAGCCACAGTTTGGATCCAAATATAAAATCTTCAAAAGTCCACACCCTAAGGGATTTTCTGAGAAGATATTTGTTCAAATTTATCTCTGCTCAGATGTTCTCATCTTCGACTCACCTGGTACTGTTCCTCACATGACAGAGAAGTAATTCTATCAAATTCATCATTTGATGTTTTCTACCCTGCTTTGGGGTAATCGCTAATACTACTTTAATAATTTTCCTACAGTAATTATTTTCCCACAATAATTATTCATGTTGAATAATAGCACATGTATATTTACCTTTTTTCTCCTAATGGCACTTCTTTTCACCATGTTATTTGCAAGAATAACTTCTCTCTGAATAAACCCAGTGGCCCCCGATAACTTCTCTTTTGCTCCCAGCTAGCCCTTGAGAGAGAAGTGAACTGCTGTATTGACGTTGTCAGCATAAGGTTCTTCAAAAATTGAGTGCTACATACAAGCTCTGAAAAAGTTTGCAGCCTTTTCCTCCTGCTGTGCCCTAGCTGATGTTGGCAGCATTTTTGGAATGTCTTAAAACAATAGAAAACAGCTTGCATGCCTCTTGGCTGACATTTTTTGGTCAGGCACTTTCCAAACCAGCTGCTTTCTTAACTAATTGAGCGTCAGTGTTTGTGATGTTTGCATGCTGGTAGCAAGCTACTTTCAGGTAACAAGGCATAGATCAGAAGCTCATTAAGCCAATAATGTTATGCTAAAATTAGTGATGCAGTTCAAATCTAAGCCTCTCTTCTAATACTTCCTGTAATTTTGTCTAACATTTATGAACCCTTTGGTACGTCTTTAACCTTTTTTTTTTTCTCCTTCCTTCTTTTCAGAATCCTAATTGTTCAATGCCTTTTTTCTTTCCCTTCCTCTGAAGCCTCCTTCCCTGCCTTTCTCTTATTGTTTTTCTTTGTTTTCATTGTGTTCTGCCCCCCGACTCCCTGCTGCCGCAGAGCTGCTCCCTACTGGTGTGCAGCGCTTGTCATACCTGCGCACGAGCAGTCTCAGCTCCTCTCACCATGACTCCCGCCCCAACTCCCCCTTCCGACACCACTTCATCCCCCATGTCAAAGGTAAGGAGCCAGGCCTCTCCAGGGAGTACCCTCCAGGCTGGAGATTTATTAGCATTCTGGCAAAGCTGATAAGGTGTATCTCTGTAAGGTGGTCATTGGCTGTGTAGCTGAGCATGCCTCGAAATGTGCCCTTGCACTTAGAACTACGTTAGCATAGACATAATGTCCTTTTTTGGAGGAAATATGTCATTTCTAAGGGCCCTAGTTGAAGAGCCACCAAGCATTTACCTGGTAGAAATACACAGAAAACCACTGTCATTTGCTCTTTAGAACCTGTATGTGCCTAGTTTAGCTTCTTTCTAAAGCAGTGCATAACAATCACTTCAGCAGTTAGCATATAAAATTTAATTATTAGTTCCACATTCTTAAAGCATGCATTGAAAAATTGACTACACTATTGCCTGAATGAGAGCAAGGTGATTAAAAATTTGGAGAAGAAAAAGGTTATATAAATATCAATGGCAACAATGCAGTTAATCTTTATTATCCACATTGGCAATGATTAGAGACCAGCAAAGTAAAATTAAAATCTCCAGGCCTTTCTTCAACTAGTGTGAATTGGCAGGCTCTGCTAAAGGCAGTAGCATTGCAATTATTTACATTATTTAAGGATCTAGTCTTTTACTAAATCTTTTATTTCCCATTATTTGTTTTGGAGAAGGATTGCTCTTTTATTGTATCCCTTCAAGGAATTAATTTTAAACTCAATAAGATTTTAGTTTTGTTTCCTGCTTTCTGTGAATGTAGTTTTTATGTTAATTTCTACTGGAGCACTCTGACTGGGCCATCTCTTCTTTTGGGGGAGAAGGTCACAAGCTTATATCACCTCAAGAACTCAAAAAGAGGCAGCTGAGTAAGTTGAACATAGATTCTAATCTGGCAGCATTGATGAATGTAGTTAATCATAAATTGGAGATAATCAAAAGCAGTTTCAAGAAAGTTGTTGCCATGAACTTTCAAGAAATGATAATAGATCTCAACATCATACATCTTTAGGCATTCAGATCACCATTACTAATTTTATTCTTGCCTTTTCTTAGATGATTTTTGTTAATCTGCACTGTCCACCTTCCTATTATGTCACTATTAAAAAAATGCCTCACTTAAAAAAATTGGGACCCTTAAAAATAGATACAGTGCTCATTTCAGCATGCAGTTAATTCATAGTCCTTGCAATTTCAACATTTCTTTGCTGTAAATAAAAACTAATGCTCACACTCTTTCAAGTGGCATTTTCATTCTTTTTCAGTTGAGAAAATAGCTTCTTCAACAGATAAATGAGAAGAACTATTGAAAATCCATGCTTATTGTTTTCAGATTTCAAAAAATTACCTGGTGTATAGATCAGGTGTCTCTCTCAGTTATTGGCACAAAAGGCCAAGTGGGATTGCAAGCGCTGTAGGCAAAGGGGTGGGGATGGTTTTTATCAGATATGCCATGGAAGATGTTGTAAGAATCCACAATTTTCTGAAGGCCTGAGCATCATTTGTGTGTCATAACTCGGCAAAGCTCCTGAAAGCTCAAGTTCATGTCACTGTGACAGTGTTCACCACCCAAGGATGTCGTACATGTGAGAAGGGGCAAGTAGCAGGTACCCATGTCTTGTAATTCACTTGGCTGAACTGAAAGAGCAGCCAAATAGCTGGTTGAGAGAAAGAAGCACAGTGCAGCAGAAAAGGGAGATCATTCTGGCACTGACTGCCAGAATCTAATGGAGCTCCCTGATATTCTTACCTTTAAGGGATTGCCTTGGGTATTCTAGGTGTCTGTTTTCAGAGTTTGAAGAACTGCACTCTTTTCCTGGAGTAGCACTTCTGTGTCTAATAAGGAATTAGAACTTGTAAATGTATCTGAAATGAGGACAGTAGCACTGTTTGGGGTTAATTTGATGTGATGGATACATTTGCAGTGATTCAAAAAAGAGGCATCATGTGGTCACCTTGTTACTTGGTCAGCATTTCTCACTTGTACTTTTAGCAAGAAGGTGGACTTGATGTAAGTTTGTAAGAAAGATCTCATAAAGCTGTAGTTTTAGGGTTTCTTCTTTTAAGAGTCAGAAAATATGGATCGTGCCTAAACTGCTTTGGTAAAGGGGCGTGATTTCCAAATGGCATAATGATAATTTAAGTGTTATATGACACATTTCACTTGTGTTATTTTGTATAATCAAGCCAGAAAAGTAGACATTTAGACTGGTTTCAGTGTGTTTTCATACAACATAAGGCTTAAAGGCAAAAGTCAAGAAACTGGAGGAGTGAAAGGGACTAAATATGCCTCAGAAAGTCTTAGTGAGAGTTTGTTGATGGAACATATATGTTGAACAAGCTGGAAAAGCATGTAATATGCATCAGCTTAGACTTCATCTAATCTGATTTGGACTCCCCATTGAATTTGGTCTTGTCTCAATAAAGTACTATCTTTGCTATAAAAGAATCAAAACAAGTCCACAAATGAAAGAAACCCTGACCCTTCTGAAATCAGAGACAAAAGTCTTATTGAGAGCCAGGATTTCATCTCACATGCCTAGAATTTTTCAAAGGCATTCAAGTGTATTGCAGAGCTCCCATAAGATTTCCATATAGAGAGCTCCAAAGTATTGTGTATTCCTTTGCTCACAGACCCTTCCCGTGAGGAATCTACCCACCTTTATTGTGAATTTGGGCCTTGGTTTTCACAGGTTCCTGCTTTCCTTCCCTGAGGCATGTTTCTGAAATCAAATAATCTCTGTACATGATAACCATTTCCAGGGTTTTGTGGATGCAGCTGAAAGTTCTGCTCTGGAAAACAGCCGTTTTGGCTGTTCCATGATTTTTAGTTTTGTGTGTGAAATAAGAGCTACACATCTGGACAAGATGATGAATGATAATTTGACAAAACCTGGATAGGACTTAGGGTTTCAGGTATTTTTGAGCTTGTTTTCCTATGTTTATTGAGAAGTAGAGCAACTATACTGCAAGCTGACAGAAGGCTCAGTGTTGTTTGCATGTGGGTTTTCTGTCCTGATTTTGTGAACTGAGCTTGTGAATCACACAGTGAGCCCAGTGGTGAGCACTTCAGAAGGCAGCAGGAACCTGCATTACACTGTGCAGTGTATAGGCAAGCAATTATATTCCTGACTGCTATGGCAACCTGCTTAACAAATTGATCTATAGAAAACAAGAACTCCCTGATGGAGCAAAGAGAATGAAAGAAAAAAAAAAAGCCTCTAAATTTCACTTCTGAGGCTTCTGTGCTCTAGGGATTGATTTTTATATTAAGTTTATTCTGTTATCTCTTAACCTCCAAGCCCCCCAACCTACACACATGCATATTTAACTTTATGTTGAATGTGGGAGTTAGTTCTTTCTGCGTTGGTGTTGGTGGAGTGCTCTTGTTGCTTTGGGGAGTTAACAGTAGTTATGGTATATCTGAGACAGTAAGAGAGAGGCTTTCCTGTGCAGGCACAGCAAGGAACCCAAATTCAGGGCATGCAGAGGCCCTACTTTTATGTAAAGCTGCAAGCAGGCCCTGGAAGGCAGGTGCAGGCAGCCAGGAGCTCTGCTTGCCTGTGTGCATATGCACACTCTGCAGATGTTGGCACTGCTTCCATAAACTGTGGGTAATTTTACAGCTGCATCTGAAGCACTTAAGCCTCGTTCTGAGAGTGGTCTCCTCAGGGATGGTCTAATGAGAAGCTAAGTAGATGTACTATTCCCTCTTGCAGAGGTTGGAGGTAATGAGTCTGCCATCCTAGAAAGTGTAAAGGAGAGTTATTTGTCACTACTGGTAGGAGTAATTAGGAAGGGAGAGACTGCACGGGAACCCCAGGAAATACAAGCCAGCAGAGACATCTGTAGAGCATCATGGCAGGATGGTACCACAGTAATTGTCTGGTACTGGATGCATTATACAGCATTACCAGTTCTCTCTAAACAAATTATCTGTGTGCCAGATACAAGATTAGCCAGCACACATTTATGCATACTTAGTTGCATCTAGCTGAAATAGGGAGGGGTATAAGAAGGATTTCTTCCCTGTATTTTTAGCGTTGGTGATTGAGGTATTGCAAATTGAACATGCCCACATTTTGACTCCCAGTTCCCAACAGGTAAAATGTATTTGTGACTCCTTCGTTGTGACAAGTCCACAAAATCCCTTTTGTTCTTCTCTTTCATTGAGCAAACTAATTGCTAATGGAAGCAGAAAGGCGGAGTGACATGTCTCTATATCTTGAGACTATATCAATATTGATGGGGGTTTTTTTGCCTTATAGAATAATGATTTTGCTGAAAAGTAACTCATAATTTCTCAGTACAAGCAAAAGACATAAGTAAAATCAGCTTAACCAAGTGAGGTGTTTCACCATCACAATATCTCAAAGGCTGGAGAAGTAGAATTGCTAAGTAACGGACCATAGATTGAGATATGGCAAAAATGTTTTAATTAATCATTCATACGGCTTTTCAGAGTTAGTAAATCTAGCACTTACTGTTAATTGGCCAGAAGCTCAGCATTGCTGCACCCGAATTAGAAAACCACTATCAAGTCATGTGGTTGAAAGAACATCATGTCTTTTAGGGCTGAAATGTCAAAGTGGTAAATATAGAATTTTGCATATGCATTCTTCTGGAAAAATTTTGTACAACCAAGCCCCCTGAAATGGGCATGTAATTTATAAAACGTATATGCAGATGAGCTAACTTGTATACTGGCAGAGGCCTCTGTGGCACATCTCTTTCAGCAAGGTTTGTAAAGAGCATTTTTTTCTCCCTTTTGGTGCCTTTTAGATTGGCAGATGCCTGTTCAAGTAAAAGATGATTTTTTGTTTAAATTGTAAGGAAAACTTCTTTTTTTTCTGCTCCCACACCTATCTCCCACCCCAAATATATAAATAAGAAATGTGCTGAGTCCAAGGTTTTGGGTCGTCTAACAGGACATAGGAAACCTGTAGGTGAAAGGAGGCCTGCAATTTCCTTTTTCTTGTGTTTTATAGCTCTCCTGTACTTGTTATCATTCTCACCACCCCCCTACTCCATTTTTTTCTTAATCTGCTTTCCTATGGTTTTCTAAGCCTTTGTGCATATTTGAAAAATGGAAGGGATTTGATGTTCCCCTACTTTTCACTATTGTGATCATCCCCACTCATGTAAAATAAGCACCCATGCGGATGGTTCTCCCTAGTATGAAGAATGGCAGTGTAAAAGGCAGCAGCATTCTTTTAAGGTACACACAGAACCATGTGTTTGGATATCTGGCTGCTAAGTCTTGATACTTGGGGATCAACCAGCATGGTTCTGCAACAGCCCTCTTGCTCTGGCAAGACATAGGAACTTTCAGGGCCGTTGGATTGCTGAGGTGCATTGTTAGGAGGCAAAGTAGTCCCAGTAAGAGTAATCCTACAAGTGGAACAAACAGTATGTGCAAAATGGAACTAAAGTTTTTAGGCATTAGATTCAGGTTTGCTAAATCAGCAGTGGTGAAATTGTCATCAGAGCCCATTTTGGCATTGACAGAGATTTGGAGTGTCACCAGCAATGTGGGTGCAGCCACCAAATGGGGTGCATTGCTTTACAAATTATTTTGGCATATCAGAATTTTTCTAAACCAGTGAAAGAGTGTGTAATGAACAGTTATGCCTTTTGATATGGGCCAAGTGAGCTAACAGCTATTTTCTGTTTCTAGTTTCTGTACACTTTTGGTTTAGTGAACTGTAGTAACTGCCAGCATCTGCTTCTATCTGCTTTCGGTTGCATATCTAATACTATGCTCCATGTTTGCGCCTTTGAATTCCAAATATCAATCTCCATACTAAAAATTGATTGCCAAGTAACCTTCCATTCTTCTTTTCCACACTGCCCATCTAAGCACCAGCTCTGAGCACACAGCTCCTGCCTGCATGCCGTCAGAATGAGTCTGAGCTGCTCAAACCTCAACTCCAGCCTGAACATGAATTTTTGTTTCTGCAGGAATATCAGGGAGATAAAAAAAGTCACCCAGGGCTACCAGTTCTCCTTATTGTTTGTATTTATATTTTTGGTTCAACTTCTTTTCTTCCTGGAAGTTTTGATTCCACCAGTTTTGTTTGGGTGTGATTGGGCTTGCTTTTTTTCTTTTTCTTTTTTTTAATTGCTCTCCCTCTTCTCATTTTGTTTTCTCCATTTTTTCATTGGAGGCAATGAGCCGTCCAGCGGTCGGAACTCCCCTGTCCCCTATCGGCCTGACAGTCGCCCTCTCACTCCAACTTACGCTCAGGCCCCTAAACATTTCCATGTTCCAGGTAGGAGCTGGCACTGTATGTGTCTTGGTGTCCTGTCACAGTGTAGAATGTAGCCTTTGTAACTTCTGTCTTGTCTCCATCGTTTCACACTGTTTACCATGGGTTTCACCCTCAGGGTTTGGAACTGCTTCTCGGCTTGCTGAGAGGAGTAGTGCCTTAAGAAATATGGGGCTTCGTTGTGATTTTTGCCTGTTCTGTTGGTCAGGTGTTTCACTGTTAGAATGTCTTGGTTTTCAGAGTCTGGTTTTGGCCTGTAAGCTGTATATGAGCTACGTAGGGCTTGATTTTTCTCCCAGTTGCACCATCTGAGCACCAGCATAGCTCTGCTAATTTTAGGAGTTGGTTTTGATTGACATGCAGAAAAGAAGTGGCCGGTGAACCATTACATATGTTGTACATTCAGATTGCTGTGACTTGTTTCAGTCTTGAACCCAATAATTCTAGTTTAGTGTTCCTTCTTTTTAAAGCAGGTGAGGATGTTTCTTTACTTGTTTTGTGCAATGGCATGGTGTCCTCAGGCGTACCTGCAGATCCACAAGGATATATATATGCCTTAGGACGTCCTCTCTATAAAAGGCAGTCTCTTTTTTGAAGTGAGCTGCAGAGTTATTCCAGCATCTGAGAAGATCATCTGGGATGGGGCTGTGTCCCCATAGGGTTGTGGACATGCATCTGACTGCATCAGTGCTAGCTGAAAGCCTTATTATATCCAGTTATTCTTCAGGTCCCCTTCAGCCTAGTGTCCCTCCATGCTGCCAGGGGTTACTGCTCCTCCTCCATTCCTCAAATCTGGCAAATAAACTGTTTGTGTGCACTCCCTTCAGCCCCAGCGTGACCTGGCCTGGCTAAGGTTGGCTGGTTTAACGCTTACGCTAACCTGGCTCACTTGGACTTGCGTAAGCTGAAGCATGAATAGCTGTGATAATCTCGAGCGCGGTGGGAGAGTGATGCAGCCCCAGAAGGAGCTGTGCTCCTGTCCCACTTAGAGCTTTGTGGTGTAGATGTGCGCAAAAGCACTGCATGACTACCCTTGTGATGTTTGTACCTATTTGCTGGTCAAGTGGCCATAACAGATCACACACAAGTGTGAGATACCACAGTGTCCTTGAGTGCAATGCGTTTGCCTGTATAGTTAAGGATGTAGGGCTCTGCAGAGCAGGACTTGCCTCTGTTTCAATAGATTTTTAGGGTTAGCTTTCCTTAACGCCAAAGGCAAGGTTGTCTTCTGTAGCAGTTTAATTGGATCTGTGATACACCGCATGTATTTCTGAAATTCCTTTTCATCTTTCATTCTGTTGTAACTGAAAACTTTTTTCAGGCAGAACAAAGTAGCAAAATGGGTTTCTGATGTTAATTTTCTAATTCCCAGTAGCTTGTTTTGGTCTTCTAATAAGATTTTGGCACAGTTTTTCACTGTAGCACTGATTTTGGATTAACTTTTTTATTTGTAGCTGTGCTGAATACATGAAGTGTTGGCTTGGGTGGGAAGGTAGTTTAGAACAAAACGGTTCCTGTCCTAGATTATTGTTTGTAAAAATATGGTATCTTTTAGACATGCTGTAGATTTACTGCATTAGAGTTCTGGGAAGTGTTTTTATTCTGATTTACATAAATGATATACAATGTGGTGGGCCTTACATAAAAAAGTTACGAAAAAAAAAAAAAGGAAATCTGTTTTTGTGGTTTGAGAATTAGTAGCATATCAGTTAACATTGCATAAAGCATCCCTTTTGACTTGCTGAGGTGTGGCTGTTCAAAACAGTGTCCTAGGCAGGTATTTTGTGCTCTGGATGTTGAAGTGAATCATAGGCTCACTGCATTCTCTGCTCAATCCAGCCAGTCAGTTGGAAAGAAAATTGAGCTGAAGCACAATTTTCCCCAGAAGTTATTTGGGAATGGGAAAAGCCATTCCCCAAATGGCTTGTATCTTCACCATTGAAATGTCTTGTCTGCTTACATTTCTTCTCTAACTTATTCCACGTTAAAATCATGACTTGATGCATCTACATGTTACAGAATCAGCTCCAAAGGACTTCATACCACATGTCTTTGACTTTTCACTGGTTCTTATATTTTCTTTTCTTTAAATAATCTGATTTTGTATAATACTAGAAATAGCTTTCTGGCTTTTTCTTGTTTACATCCTTGATTTGGTCTGTGTGTTGTTTTAGTGCTGGAGTTATCTTTATCTACAACCGAAGTAGTTTTCATATTCCCTTTTTTTCTGTGTCTTAATATCACAGATCAAGGTGTCAACATTTACAGGAAACCGCCCATCTACAAACAGCACGGTAAATGATCTTTCCCTTTTTATTTCAAAACTGGAATGTCAACTAAATTATAAGGTGTGCAGATTAGTGAAAAGCATTCAGTTTTTATTTTGTAAGCATAAGTTTAGTAGTCGAAGTTTGAAACAGCTGTTATTGCATGTCCTGCCAAGTGGTTATGTTTTAAAGCATGTTGTTTCATTTGGATCATATGGTTTAATCTTGGCCATGTGGATATTAATGGCAAAATTGCCACTAGCCGGGATTTTGCTGCTTCTTTAGCATTATGATGCCTTTCAATATTTCACTTCTTTAAATTTATATTTTCAAAATACAGGTACTGGTCCGTGTTAAAATGCATTAACAACAAACTCTTCTCTGACAGGGAATTCTTGAAATTTCCTTACTTTAAACAGACGCAGTATAATAATTTACTTCAACAGCAAAGATGGAGATGTTATTATCAGACTGGAATTCTGAATGTATCTGTGGCTTCAAATAAGAATATTTAATTAGTGAAGGTATTATAGGTGACACTTATCACTGACAGGGCTAATTTGATTCTCAGGCCCTGTGAGACAGCTCAGATACACTGTATTTGTTTTTCCAGGGGTTTGGGTTCTGAGTTGGACAGCAGTGTTAGTAAATTAAAATTTTTGGTGTAGAGGTTGCTATAGCAAATCTGAAACACCAGTGATGGCAGAAGGCCACTGCCTTGCCTGTCATTAGTACTGCAGGACAAGGTCCCGTTACAATGGAGTGTGTTCACTCTTCCCTTCTCCTGTGAACACAAAACTGTGCATAGGAGATGATTTTTATTTACTGTGGTGAAAGACAGATGACTCCACTTCTTAAAGACTCTTGAGTTTGCATCCTTTTGCAGACTTTTTATCCAGTGAAGTGTATTTAGGATTAAGTGGCAAATTAGCAGTTCTACCGGGTTTAGATGAACAGTTGGCTGAGAGGCATTGAACTGAGCTGAGTAGGAAAACCCAGAAGTCCGTTCTGCAGTCAGGAATTGCAAATTACACTCCTCTGGTATTGCATCAAGTTTTTTTCCTTTCTTTTTTTAAGTTTCAAACCATATACTCATTTTGGAAAAAGTCTTAACATTGTTTCTGTTTATTTTTATGGTTTTAATGTATCTCCTCACCTCCCATTAACATGTGAATGTTTAACCTCTGACATCACCAATTCTAATACGTAAGTACTGTTTGAAGTCATGCTTTTGTAAACTCTGACCAGCTTCCTCCATGCCTGCAATTATGCTTAGATTTTCCCAGTCATAAACTGGTCAGAATTACCAATGATATCTAATACTGATGTTCCTAAACTACCCTGAACGTGTTGGATGAGCAAACAGGGCATCACTTCGTTAACAGGTGTCTTTCTGTTTTTAAAACAAAAAGAGAAAAGGAAAAAAAGTCCAGCACCCTTGCTTCTGATACAATAGCTTCATGTAAGTGAAGGTGATTTGAGCTAACAGTTTGCATCTTAAGAGGTAGTTAAGGCTGGGTTTAATGTAAACTGGATCCTATTGGATGTTTTTTGCTTTTTAATGTCAAGAAGTGAAAGCCATAATGCACATCCTCACATGCTTTTATGAGACTTTGGCTTAGAATGGAATCTTAAGTGGATGCCCATGGCTGAGCTATTTTATTGATGAGGTTCAGTGCATTGCAAGTGCCTTTCCCTGCCAAGTTGATCTGAATGGAGTTTAGTATTTATTAATAAGTTTACATCTGCTTTTGCTACTACTGCATGCTATAAGCAAGAGCATGCAGCAGAAAAAAAATTCCCCTAGTTAAATGTATTTGTTTCAGGTTTCTATTTTTTGTTTGTTTTGCAGCTTTTCACAGAAATATAGGAAATAATTATCATCAGTAGTGTTAAAATTAGTACTGTTCCTCTGAACTATATGTTTTCTTGCCCTAGAGGGAAGACAGATCAGTACATAAAGCTGGGTTCACCTTCATTAATAATCAGCTGTCCTTAAGAGATATTGATGAATACTCATAGGCTGAATTTTCTCACTCTTGCCTAATCATTCTTACACTGTGAAACCCTAGTAAAATCCAAAGCTGATTTGGGGTTATTTTGGGGGTGGGAATGTGGGAGGAGAGGAAGGTTCAACTCCAGTCTATTGGCAAGAGAAAGGCATTACCTTGCTTCAAATTGCAATTAGAATAGCAAAACATGAAAATGTTCACTTCTGAAAATTAACTACTTGTAAAGTATAAAATTTTGCCAGAGTAAGGAAGACCTTTGTATTGATACAGATTATTACATAGCTAAGTTCCCTGATTGCCATCTAGATGCAGCTGCTTTGGCAGCACAGAGCAAGTCCTCCGAGGATATCATCAAGTCCTCCAAGTTCCCAGCAGCTCATGCACCAGCACCCAACGAGATACCAAAGATTGAGACGGACCACTGGCCAGGTCCTCCCTCCCTTGCTGCCATAGGTATGCAAAAGCAAATGGTACAACGATGCGGCTTGAAAGGTACTGGTAACCAAAGTAGGTTAATAGTGGAGCTGTAAAAATGGGTAGTAAAGGTGGCGTCCACTCCAGATGTTCACCACGAAGTGCAGCTCTTCTGGTGAGACCACTGAATGTCTGAATCTGAAACTGTTGAATTTTGCTGAGTAGAAGAGGTTTTGCTAAAGGACTTTGGAACTGATCACACAGATTAGCCCATAGGAAAATTTTGTGAACTCTAGTGCAGTAGCTTAAAAAATGTGGTGTGTCACACAAGCCTGACTTCTTTCAGTTATTCTATTTAATCTTTTAGTCCTAAGCTAATAGTAGTTATGCCACAGAAAATATTATTGCTTCCAACCACATGACTAATTTCATGGCAAGAAACAATGTCTGAATTGGAACAATTAACAGACTAAATAAGTCCTGATTTTCAGAGTTATTGTTTTTAGAGACTTTGTATTTTTCTTCTGTGTCGTAGCACTACACATATTTTTTTTCTTTAATTCATGTGCATCATCATTTTAGATTTTTTTTTGCTTTGTATTTTTTTCTCTATAAATTTTCATTGACCCTATAGCATAAAATAAGCTGTCTAGCCTGATTCATTCATGAAGACATGTCTGAAGCACTGAGGTGGTGTTTGTTTCAGGTTTCTGTGAAGGAATGTATGGCTTTCATCACAGTGGGATCTTCAGAGAAGTGCTGGGAGAGGAGACACAGGGTGGGAGAGCGCAGTGACCAACTGAAGGGGCTGCACATGCAGCAGCAATTTTTTGAACATGTCCTTTAGATAGGATTGCAGCCTGACAAACATGAGTTACAGGGATAAAACATCTGTATATTTGAAACATCTACATACTTGAAACACTGAGTTTGTCCAGCATAGGGTTGGTGAATAACTATATCAGATATAGCCTGTGCAGAAAAAAATACAGCTGCTGTCTAAATGGTTGCAACAATATCACATTCTATGTATTCATGGAAGAGTCCTGGCATCCAAATTGGATTATTTCTTAAAAATATTCAAGAAAATAAAAATTATTCAATAAAAGCTAAGGAACTAAAAGGTAAAGCACCTGTGTCTTAATTAATTTTAGCTTTATCCAGTGGGTCAAATTAATTTACTTCATTTAAGACTAAAAATAATGCCTTGTTTATTTCAAATATGAGTATTCATTTAGGAGAGTATTGTAGTTTAATTTTCCATTTGAAATGCTAATTCAGATTTGCTTTTCTGGGTCTAGATAAAAGTGTAAATGTAAATCAGGCTTTAAGTTTTCAGCCGCTGATCTAGTTACTGGTGCTATTAAACCCCATTTTTCTAGAACTAGCAATGTGAGCTCCTTTTCTCTATTACATTGAATCTTGGCTTTTGCATCCAGGACCATTGCTTAGTTTGGAGCTCACGTGCAGTTTAATCTCTTGTTTCTTTTATAGCAAGCCTGATAACCATAAGGCAGGCTATCCAAGTGAGTTTTATTAAGAGTGAGCTTTGAAAAAGTCTTTTGACTTTGCAAGAAATTACTGCTTTGTTTATTCAGCAAATCAGACTGACCAGTACTTTGAACTGGCATTGAAGTCTTCAAGCTGTGGTTGCACTGGTACACAAAGCTGTCTCTGTACTGTGGTTTTATGGAAGCAGGAGCTGACATGAGACGCAGATCAAGTGGAAGAGAGGAAGATGATGAGGAGCTACAGAGGCGCCGGCAGCTGCAGGAAGAGCAGCTCATGAAGGTGGTTATGAATTTGTCTTCATGCTATTTCTGAACATCCTGCAGAAAGGACCCCTTTGTTTTCTGTAAGCTATTTCTACCACTGTCTTGATCATCTTTATTTTACTGATATATCTTTTAATTGCCATTTATAGCTCAACTCTGGTCTGGGACAGTTAATATTGAAAGAAGAGATGGAAAAGGAGAGTCGCGGTAGGTCAGCCCTTTCTGCCAGTCGTTACGATTCTCCAGGTAATTAATGTAGGCAATAGAGCTAATAATGAACAGTGAATAATAAACAACATGTTTACACATATCAGGCAGTGTCCCAGAAGAGAGACAACTGGGAAGACTGCTTGATATGTGTATGTGTGGTGATCTGCCCTGAAAGAGTGGCCTAATTCTTTACCTCGTTTTGGTGAGGGTGGGAGTGTCATGGCTGGATTTTAATTAGAAGAAATATGAAGTTGAGGATTTTCAGGCAATTCTAAGGAGAGAGATGTTCTAATATAAATAAGGAGTGAACTAAAGTGTTTGGTGACTGTCACATAGCATACGTGCTAATAGACTGGGCTATTCAAGTACAATAACACCTTTTGCTTAAACTGATGGTTCCTCTTCCTATTTAGTCTCTTCTCCCAGGGAAAGAAAATCAGCAACATTGACCAGAAGAGCTGCATATTTTGAACACAGCCAGAGTTTTGACCTTGGCCGACATTTTGATTTGGCTGTATTCTGTTCCAGAGCAAAAGCAAAAAAGTTAACTTTGATTAATTGGTGGCTTAGAATCTTTGCCTCATCCCACATTTTGATATACATTTGTGGCCTTCTCAGACTCCAGAGAAGGGTTTGGAGATTTTATTTCACTCATTTCATTCACTGTGCATTGTAACACTGCAGTTGTACTTTGAGTCAAGAAGGGACAAGATGAGTCTATTTGGAGTCTCTGGAGGAGCTGCCAAGCAGACCAGGATTTCCTTGTGTTCCCTGTTGTATAAGTGTGTTGCCTTGATGGCCTTGGAAAGGATGCCTGTGGCTCTCCCTCACTGTCTGTAATTTTTGCAGGGCCAGAGTCTACCTGCTCAACTCAGAGCTTATGATTTCTTTATTAACCTTAGCACAGGATGGAGGACTCCTTTATTTGTGTCCGTCCCTCTTTTCAGGGATAATCAGTGCAGCCATCAGCTGCCTTTTGTGGAATCGGTGGCATCTTTCCCAAAGCTGCTAATTGTTGGCAGCAATAGTGCCTCAAGTTCTACATTCCCCACCCTCCTGTGGTAAAAATAACATTAAAAACCACCAAAAATTGCCTTTTTATTTGGAGGATCTTGTCTGAAAGAACTGTATTAACTGTAGAGTTGCTATTGATCGCTATGCTAACAATCTTTATATTTATCCACTTTTTTATCTATGTTTAAAAACACACTCTGGACATTTCAATAATTATAATTTTTGTTTAGAATGCCAAATTCTCAACTTGTTTGAATTCAGTTAGCACTGCCCATTCCCATAGTTCTCCTATTGAAGTCAGTATCCAAACATCTGTCAACTGCAGTGTTACAGGACCAAAACTAACACCCTTTTCTTCTTTGTAGCAACAAGTGGTGAGCTGCAGCATGTCAATAAGAGAGAATGGAGTGTGCTGGTCATGTGCATCTTGGCTTGGGCAGCAGCAGAAACTGGGAGCATGAGTGCAACAATCTTTGAGTAGGAAGAATAGAAAGGTTCATTCAATTCATGAAAGGCTCAGAGTGTATAATGATATATAAACCACATGTGCCACTTAGGAGAGTGGAACTGAATGGACCTGCATGAGAGACTTTAACAGGAAACCTGTCCAAATACTGATGATCTTGGATTCTCTATGTACTTTATCTTGGTCCCATCTTAAGTTGCACAGTAAAACTTTATCTAGATAAGGAATAAAAAGTTATTTTGCACTGTTGGCTGATCCCTGAGCATTACTTTCAATCCAGTGGAGGATATTTTGATTTTGAACCTGGCAAAACCACAGTGCCCTTTTTTGATGATCTGCCACCATGGCACAATAAAGCTGCATGTAACTTAGAGAGTGTGTGAAAGTTTGTGTTGAGTTTGAGCTGAAAGAGTAGTTTCTTAAAGTCAGTGTATCCAGTTGTGTACTTGCTTGACTACTTTAACTGTGTATTTTATGCTAGTTCATTCCTCAAATGTTCTAACTTTTGAGTTTCCATGGGATTTTTCCAGTAAAACAGTTTCCCTTCCTCATCCAACAGCACATGCTTCAGCCTCCAAAACCTCTTCTCTCCCTGGGTATGGAAAAAATGGACTTCACAGGGTAAGAAAATGGTGATTTTGAGAAGTGAAAGGTGGCTTTAATTATCCATGGTATTTATTTCCATATTAACTGTATTGGATTTTCAGGTTGATTAATATTTCTTATAAGACCAGCTGAAGTCAGACAAAACCTAATTTCCCTTCCCATAGACATTGTTAAAAAAGCAAGAAACCAATGCAAGAAATGTTGTGAAAATTCTGAGGGAAATAAAAGACATAAAGCAATTTATTTTGCCCATATACCAACCTGCTTGTGAAGTCATGAATTGTGAATTTATGTGCATATCCCTCTTTTCCTTTTACAGCCAGTGTCTACAGATTTTGGTCAGTACAACAGTTATGGGGATGTGAGTGGTGCTGTTAGAGGTAAGGCTGAGGAGCCTTTTTGTTACGGTGTTGGATCATTTCTGCTGTTTTATTTTAAAGTTGTGGATGTGGTTACTTTGTATTTGCTCAATACTTTTTAACTTCCTCTGGTAAATTTGACAATTAACTCAAACAGTTCAAATACCTGTAGAAAATATTGGGTTTATTCTGCCAAATCTGCTATGTGGAACTGATCTTGTTTATGCCAAGGGACTGCTTTAGCATTGGATCAGACTGCAAGTGAGTAATGTGTGTGTTATCAGGAATATGAACTGAGTTCTGACGTGGTGTTTTCTGTCTCTGAAAATTACCATCCACCATGCAGTCTGAAGAATGTGCCACAGTGAAGAAAGGAGGATAGTGCCTTCTAATCCCCATTGCTGCTCATGATCTTCATTATGACTGAGCTAGATGTGGTATCAGTCATTGCCTAATAAAAATTGACAATAACATTTATGAAAGTTATGAAACTTTGAGAGTTAATGTTTTGAAATGTTTTGAGAGAGAGAGAGCTATTTTCCAAAGTGAGATTGATCCTGACTGTCTTAGGTACCCTATGGTCAGGCATCTTCTATTGGTGCTTGAGTCTTAATAGGCTGTGGAGTAATCTAGACAGCTACCTTGTGACAGAAGTTACTTGAGCTGAATCCTGCTCTGCACATTTGAATTTTTATTGTCTCTTTATTCACTTGATTGTGGCTGTGGATCTCTTAATATTTCCAAAGTGACCTACTTTTCCCGAATGAGAAGCCTGCTCAAAATAAAAAGGACTGAAATACTTGGAGTGTTTGAATCTACAAACTAAGTCTAAAATTAGAGATGTTTCTAGCCCTAGAGAATCAGGTGGGATTTTGGAAAGATCAGGTAGACCAGAAGACAGAAGGATTATCTGGTAGGTTGTAACTGATTCCTGTTCTTCCACACTCCAAAGCTGATGAGACTTCTCTTTTGCTTTTCAGATTTCCAGGTAGAGTACGGGTTTTCATCAATCAACTGACAGCAGAACCTAGAGCATCTACTTGTTCAAGTCTGAATTTCTGCTACAGGGAAGGGTTTCTTAAGACAATAGCTTTGATTTTCCTGCATGTTTAAGCATAATCACCAATGTAGATTCTTATCAACCAAAAAATGGGCACAGCCTCGGATTCCTCCTTGTGTACCTCCCCAGAGCTGGGCTGAGACAGCTCACACCAGTTCTGTGACTTGCTCTGTAAAATCCACTGTCTGTTTATACATGAGTTATCTGTAGTAGTCATCTCTGGACATGTGAGGGTGGATTTATTTTCAGCCTCTCTAGTACTGGCCCCAGAGACATATAGAAAGTCTCTCCTGGAGGCAATTTTTTCCCATAGCAGGAGCTTTGAACTCTTCGTTTTTACCCTGGAATTTGCTCTCCAGACAAGATGGCTGATCAATAGTTTTCTACAGTGCTGCCATCATAGATGAGCCAGAAAGAGGTGTGCTTGCAAATAGAAACCTTTTTACTTCAAATACTGCCTGCAGGTTTTTTTTCCAGAATGGTTTGAGTCTAACTGGCTCCTCAGCACAATCACAATATGAAATCGCAATTTGAGAAAGAGTTTAATTACTTGGATATTTTGTTAATGGCGTATCAAAATCATGATGATTGGAAAGAGAATAAGATTATGGGAGAGGAGCAGAGTTGTCTGTGTATTGTTATCCAAATGTTATTTCCTTAGAAACAGTACCTGTGTCAAAACCAGCACCTTTTTACCCTATCCCCATTTGTGTTCATAGTAAAAATTTCCCATTGTAGAGACAAAAAAAAAAAATCCCTCAGTTGATACAGTAAATGACAGGAAGGAAAGCCCAGAGGTATAAGAGAGCTTTGTATGCTGTTGGGGAGGATCTGAATTAATGTTTCTGTGTATTTGACTAGAGAAGAACTTCACTTAGTCACTGGGGTGGGAAAGGGCCTACCACTCTCTTGGGTTGCCCAAATCCAGCTGGGAAGTGATACTGGTGAGTGGGAAGCTCTCACCAGCCTTGGCAGTGACAGGAGGCTGTGGTGGCAGAGAGGATTGAAGGATCCCTCTGTGAGCCTCAGAGAAGTAACAATGTAGTAGCCATGGCAATGATCTATAAAATAAGACCAAGTAGTAAGACTTGAAGGAAGTCTCAGGGCAAATTCACCTTTGTTTTCACCACTACTTGAGTGCCTTTACCCTCTGTGTGTGTAACCTATGTGTCTGATGTATACCTGTATCTGATGCAGTCCCTCCCGGATGGTCATGTCCCTGGAATGAGAATGGACAGAGGAGTATCTATGCCTAACATGTTGGAGCCAAAGGCAAGTGCAGATGTTATTCACTTTCCTTCAAGACAGTGAAGATTTGACTGTGAAATGCAGATAAAATAGGGGAAATGTCTTAGTTCCCTTACTTTTCTTTACCTCACCTCAGTCCCTGCTCCTTATGTGCCAAACCTCTCCCTTTGTTCTGGACTTTGCCTGTTAACAGGTGTTAGTGCTCAGGCAGGCTGAGGGCAGCCCAGGGGCGCTTCCTGGGATAAGGAAGCTTTTCTAGAGACAAACTGAAGGATACTGAAGGTGCTCAATAGGCAGTTCTCTCTCAGACTTTCACTAGCCAAAGCAGCAGGCCAGACTCAGTGGGAAGATCTCAGATCTGTCCAGTTTGAAAATTGATGCAGAATACTGTGGCTCACAACACACTGTGGAGGCTGTCATAATGTAAAAGTTAGGAAAATACATGGATCTTTGATTGGATGTCTGTCTGGATCTGTTATTTAGCTCTTGGCACTGTTAGCCTGACCACCTGTCAATAATGCTGAATTCCCTATATGAGAATCTCTCCAGGAGATTCATTGGAAAAAGAGACAATGTCAGCTAATTATAATGTAATATACAAATTAAAATGCTTTTACAGCTATGTCTAGAGATGCCTGAGTCAAAAATGAACATAATAACATAGAGGGAATTAAACCAGAGCTGTGTTTTAAATCTTTCTTTATTGCTGGTGAACCTTCCATGAAATCATGATTTTGCTAAATTTACAAGGATCACAATTTCTACAGTTAAGTGAGGAGCTGGTTTTGCAAACCAGATCACTACGTGTGCTTCCGAGTCACCTCCAGACAAACTGTACAAGGCAATAACCCTGGCTTTATAAGCTGAGACCCCAGAGCAATGTATAGTTACAAGTGGTTTTATATACTATATAAATAAGACCCTGGGGACATTATCAACTCCCGAGCTACTACTTTTTATTCCAAATAATTTCTCTTTCAGTGCAATAGAAATTCTTAAAGCCACCACTGCTGTTGATGCACCCAGTGATTTGGAATGTTATTTTGGGTGACAAATTCTGTCAGTATTATTAATAATAAAATTTATGGCAATTTTGATGAGATAATAGAACACTTTCTGTTGATGTTTATAAAGGTGATGCCGGACCCTCAGCATGTGTGAATTGGCACTATTTTTATTCATGTCAATGGGCCAACAGTAACTTAAACCTGATAAAGTAAAAGAAGCTAACTCAAAGTCAGCATGAAACACATGCAAAAATTAGTAACCTTAAGAAGGACCAAATCTCACCAAATGGTTTTCCAGAAAGGACAGAATTTGTGCATCCTGCCAACCCAGATTGAGACATGCCTTTTTATGAATATTTAAATATAAAATGTACTTATGACCGTAGATCTTGACTTAAATTCTGCCTGTTTAAATATGAAAAGTTACATTTTAGTTTCCTATAATGCTGTATATGGTAGCCATTTCCAGTATCAAACATAAGCAATGTAATTCCAAGTATAGACTTAATTGTACAATTGTGACAATGTCAGAATATCATAAGAATCATATCTTACAATTGGTATGTAAGCACACGTTATTTAAGTTATTATTACTTACAATAAACTCAGTGGTGTGTTCACTGATGCCTGAATGTTATTTATTATATTTTTGAAAAGTTCATTGGGACAATTGTTAACAATGGAATGAACTTAATTGCTGAGTACTGCACAAAAATTGGTTAGGTTGAATTTCTTCTGATGTTAAAATAATGTAATTAATCACATTTGATAATAGCTACTTCTACAGAAGAGTTTTGGTGGTCTCACTCCTATTCCCAGTGGGCAAGGAAGACAAGACCCATAAATGACAGTAAAGGCTGAGCCAGTCACCACTGAAGTTTACGGAAAAACTTCACTGACCCCAATAGGTGTTGGATGAGGGGTCTGGGAATGCTGCTTTCCCAGTCTGCAGAGACATGCAATGAGAAGGACTCTAGAGAGGCTCTGGCAGATGGAACATAAGCTCTCCTAAGTCATTCCAGGCATGGAAATGTCTGCCCAAGGAGAAAAATCCTAGAAGAGAGTTTTATTTGCTAGGGATGATTCCAGAAACTGATTTTGAGCTTTTCCAAATCCTTTCCAAGCAGCATTGTATCTATTGGATTAGGCTGATTTGAGACCCACTGACAGTAAACATTTTACTTCAAAGAACCTGTGCATGTAAAACATGCAATCAGGAATTGATTATGTGCCAATGTCTGACTGTGTATAAATTCTGGACATTCTTTGCAATGTAAAGGGAAATCAAGGAGAACGTTAATGGGAGATGTGCTGGACACATACTCTTCTGAAGCAGATTAAGATGCTTAGGACAAATGTCTACAAAAGTATCTCCTTTAATCCATGTGTGTATGGCACAGCCAGCAAACACAGTGGGCAGTTTTTTTGAATTCTTTAACTGTCCAAAAAGGTGAAGAAAATGATGTGATAAATTCTATTGAATGCAGTGGCACTGACAAATTAATATCTTGTTGATTCGGAGATCTGAACTTTTGACTTTTTTTTTTAAAGTCTGCTCACTAATTGTCTGTCCTTAGAGCTGTCCACACTTTAGACCATTAGACCAATGAGCGGCAAATGCAGTTACCTTAATAAATTTTTACATTGATGGATGAGAAAGTGTATTGACTAGAAAGGACTCTATCTGACCAAAGCCAGACGATGTATTATATACAACATAAAAATGAGTGGGGTTGAAAAGTACATAGTGGCTTCACAATATGAGGCAGTTCAATACTAAACAAGCCCTGGCTATGTCCAGATGGGCTTGTCTTCCATGCAACGTTAGGAAAAAATGATAAGAAAAAAAGAAGCTGTTAATTCCTTTGAAAAAGAAAACAAGTGTTTGTGTGTTTATGAAAATGAGACACATTTTGTTCTTTCTGCTTTAGACTATAAATATAAATATCTCTTTTTCCCCCTTTTATACATTGTTAACAGATTTTTCCATATGAAATACTCATGGTGACCAACAGAGGGCGAAATAAAATACTAAAAGATGTAGACAGAACCAGGCTTGAGGTAAGAGAAGCAAGTTCCTAAATGCTCTTTCCTGCTGAAGTTGTTTATCGTTTGTGACAGCTGAAACACTGAAGTGTGGGTCCTGGCTAGACTGGGAAGATTTCTCAGCACTAATCAGGGAAAGAGGAATCAGACATTGGGAGGAAGCAGCCTTATTTCCATTAACTGTGCTGAGCTGGGAGCCCTACGCCTCTGTCTCCCTGCTCATGGACGGAGCTTCTCACCCCTTATGTTTTCAAGCATTTAATAATATACTTGTGGATTTGTTAAAAGCCAAAAATTGCACAAGTGTCATAGGTGCCATATTGGAATGGAGCAATACTTTGTTCGATCTTGGATCATCTTTTACCTAAAAGTCAGTGTCAGCCATCCTTGACGATCAAAAGTCATGAGTGCTGTGACTTAGTTAGACTGAATGATATCCAGAAATACAAGAATTTAAATCTCTGCCAACAAATAAAAATAGTTTACAACTTTGTGGATTAGAAAGACTTAAGCAGCCCAATGGAATCCTGGGGATGTTTAAGTCGTTTGTAGTTAGTTAATATTCTGTGGAGATGAATGGAAGGAGCCACAAAAATTTGGGTAATTTGGGTTTATGCCCATTTTTAGACTACTAGGTATGTGATCACTAGTCAGAATTCAAAGCTGTATTACATTAGTGCCACAGGGAATTCTAGTTCCATCCAGTGAACTCTGAAGTGGCTGGACAAGAAGTACCTTGTGCACGGGACAGACAGCACCAAAAAATGTTTCACTAGCAGTAGTGTGCTGGACAGTTAGTCTGGCCAGACATCTTCCTTCTCGGAACTTCGAATGTAGTATGTCAACCTGCAACCCTCCTGCAGAGCTCTCCTGAAACCCAGTGTCTGTTTGGACTTCCACATGTAAGCAGAGGTGACTTGCTAAAGCCTGGGACAGGGGCATGCAGGAGCTAGTTTTGTTCTCTGGTCTATCAGTGCTTGTTGGATGACTTCAGACAAATAATTTTTCTGTCTCTTGCTTATTCAGCAACTGATTCCCTTTGTAAACTTCTCACACTTAAAACTTTAATTGATTCATTGGGCACCCAAGTTCATGAGGACTTGGACACATGTATTGCAAAAGCCTTGTTTTTTCCAGCAACAAGCAACATGAAATCCCTAAGGAACTCCTACCTCCTCTTGTGTCTCTTTGGCTTTGACTGACCATTGCCTTTTCTCCTTTTTTTTTTATTTTATTTTTTTTTAAAGCGTCATTTAGCGCCTGAAGTTTTTCAAGAAATATTTGGCATGACGATACAGGAGTTTGACAAGTTACCTCTCTGGAGACGCAACGACATGAAGAAAAAAGCAAAACTCTTTTAATCTCCCTTTAAACAAACCAACAAAAAATGATGCATAGGATGCTGTATCATACAGTCCACACTGTTTGGAAGCAACTACTTATCCACCAAAAAGGGAAAATCACATAGTGGCACCTCTGTACACAGCAACTGAACAAGATGAACATTTGCCCTCCTGGAACACAGAGAGAAAAAATCTGGGCTCAGAAACAACGATAGTTTTCAGGGGTGTTGACCTGTTACATGATATGATACAAGATAGAAAACTGTTCTGTTCTCCCTCAGTGATACTCCCTTTACTTCTCTCCACAATATGATGGACGTTATTGCTAGAGCCAGGAAGTGCCCTTAGGATGCCTTGTAGACTAAAGTAGTTGTAACCACTCCAAGAACTGGAAAAGAAAATATACATATATAAATATATATATATGTATGCGTGTTTGCCCGTGTGCGCACCTGTATTTATATCTATCCATCTATCTCTGTGTGTGCGTGTATGTGTGTGTATATATGTGTGTATATACGGAGAGGAAGATAGATAGGTGCTCTGTAGTGAAGGAGAAGCCCCTTGTAACTTATCCACATGGTCACATAAGTCACCCAGCTGTTTCTTGGCACTCTTTTGCAATGGCATCTTCTTCATGTGAAACAACCTGCAACGGTGGGCACTCAGCTCACTTACAGTACGTACCAGTTGGATTTCTGGAAAATGGATTCCTTGTATATATTTGCTAGGATATAAGAAGTGAATTGCTGTGTGTGTTGTCAGTCTTCCCTTTTCCACACTTTCTGCTTGAATTAATAAGGCTGGAGAGTAACCAGTCCTTTGAATAATTTAAGATCACTTAAGTAACGGGAATGATGGAGAAGAGTCAGTTTTCTTGTAATTTACTCCAGGAGATGGGTGGGTGGGGGTGGGAGTGGGAGTGACAGAGTGAGAAAATGGTTTTTTAAGTGTGCCCTGGTTTGCACCCAGAGATTTTGGGACAAACTCCCTGCTAGTGATTACTAGTACAGCTCATCAGACCGCAGTGGAGTTGCAGGATTTTACATTGACAGGGAAGGTTCTCTGCAAGCTAACATGCAAATTCATCCCTCTTAGGGAGGGATGTTTGTGAATTAAAAGGTACCATCGAGGTGCCGCGCTCTGCCAATAGAGGCTTTTTGATTAAACTGCAGTTGCTGTTGTCGATATGGCACAGTGCATGGGGCCAAGCACTCTTTTTAGTTAATGTAGTTTTTCACTTGTGCTTGGAAAAGAGGGCACAGACTTTTTTTTTTCCTCTCTTGAAGCATCAAAGCTCCAGCCTTGGTTATTTTTATTTCCCTTTGTGCCTGACTTGGTTTTTGAAGACAGAGTAATCATGCAAGACAGTTTCTGAGCTGCATTGAACTCCTTATTGCTTTCAGTCTTCTTCCAGTATGCTGCAGCTTAAAAAACTGCCTGTATATACCTTAACTGCTTCTGGGCAAGTCCTATACATAGGAGGACATGAGCACCAAAATAATTGAATGAGTGCATTGTGGCTGCCAGGTCAGCTTTTTCTCTTCTGTGGTGCTTAACTGCCAATGCATACTGCACTAATGAGCCTGTCTCCTGATACGGGAGGGGGTCGTTTAGGTTCTGTGTCTGTCAAAGAATATCAAGGTTTCCTTTTTAATGCAGAAACTTCAGGCACTGGAGACATCAGAACCTTTGTATTTTCTGTTCTGTGAGACATTGGTGTTCAAATCCAGAAGTTAGGAAGGGGAAACAGTCCCATGTAGTTGTGAGATTCAGTATCACTGTGTTGAGTTCTCTATATCACCAAATGACATTTCACCATGAACTGTGCAGGGCAGCCCAAATCCTGCCTCTTCTTTGCTGGTTTAGGAAGTCCCGATGCAACAGATCACTGTGGTTCCTTTGATAAAGTCTGAGATGGAGATTCAGTATATGAGAGACAGAGACCAGGGATCACCACCTGCTCCACGTCCCTATAGCTGAGGGAATGGTGAGTCTATGGGACAAGCTGGAGAACATCCTACCATGGAGATCCAGCACCACAGTCTCCACTGAACAGAATTCCCCAGTGAACACTGTGACACACACACTTGTGAGTGAGTGAGCTCTCTGGGTAGTACTGAGATTGCAGCAAGAATCAATGTAACATGTTTTAACTTTATTTTTCAGAACATGCATCTGAAAGCTTTTTAGAGGAGCACTGAGAAGTGCTAGTTAGGGGCACTGGCAGA